CACAGCTGGGCTCTCGGCCTCTCCTGATGTTGCTAGCGCCCGCAGCCCTGCCCCGTAGGGCTCCAGATTCTGGGCCCGCTGTGCGGGGGCCCCAGCGGCTGTGCTGGCTGCCACTTCTACCTCTCTTAGCCCCTCTACCACCCGGAGGGTGTCCACTCGGATTGGGCCATCTGGCGGTGGCCAGGCCTGGGGTTGTAGACTGGCCTGTCGGGCCTGAGCTGCCTGCAGCTCCTGGAGTGCTTTCTTGAGTTGGGTCTCCAGCACGGCAACCTTGGCAGCAAGAGCTGCCTCTCCATCAGGCATGCCCAAGTCCCGCTCACGGACCCAGGTGCCCACACTCCGGGTCTCAAGTGTCATTGGGTCCTCAGGGGGTTCCGGGAGGTCCAGGCAGAGCTCATTGCGGCCCCTGGCCCCAGAGGGATGACCCAGAAATTTTTGGCTCTTGAGCTGTACAGTGAGCTGCCTCTTTTCTTCCTGCAGCACTGACAGCTTCACCTGGAGCACGGGGATCAGCTTCACCTGCTCCTCTAGCTGCCGAAGCTTCCGTAGGGCACCTGCCATCTGCTCCCGAACGTGGGCCAGGTGCCCGGCACTGGGTGGCACTGGTGTGGACAATCCCGAACCCCGTGGTGTTGGAGGAGGCAGCCCCACACCCACCAATGAGCTCGTCGAGCCGGCTGCACTGGGGGTCAGGGACCCCAGGCTGGCGGGTGTGGCTGCCTGGTCCTCCAGGCGACGACGAGCATCCAGCAGTGTGCGCTCCACACGGGGGTTGAAGCCACCACCACGGGTCTCCAGGGCACCATACTGAGGGTAGAAGCCACGGCCGCAGTAGGAGTAGGCAGAGTGGCGGCTGTCCCCACTGGCATTGGAGCACAGAGACTCAGTGGACGTCCACCAGGAGCCTGGACCTCGGGGCAGTGAGCCCAGGCGCGGGCGACGCTGCACAGCCACACGCCGCAGTGTATGGCCCTTCTCGATGTCATCCACATACTTGAGAAAGTCCAGGTCGAGGCGGTAGCCATAGGGCGTCTCCACAGAGTAGGGAGGGTCATGCTCTTTTGCAGGGAAGGCAGGTGGGGAGGCTGGACCAGGGGTCCCTGGGGGTGGGAGAAATACCAGAACCTCTGAACACTGAATACCAGAACCCCTGTTCTTTGGGACCATGACAGATGCCCCCAAGAGCCAAGGTTTGTTTGCTCAAGGGATGGGAGCCCACTGGGTGCTCAACTGGCAGTCTTAGTCCTGGGCCAGGGCCCTATCACCTCGGACCCTCCCAGAACAGGGTTGTGCCTCCTCTCAAATTCCCCTAGGACAAGGCTTTGTCTCCCAGCTCAGAACAATCCACTTCCCCAAATATTATCCCATCCCCTCCACCACCACAAAGGCTCAGAGCAGGGTACTATCTCTCCTTTTAGATTCTCCAGGAAATAATCATGTTATCCCTGCTCAGGGCTGTGCCCCACCCCCACCACCCCCAGATAGGGCCATAGCCCCCACCCCAGACCCCAAAGTAGGGTCCAGTCTTCTCCCCCAGCCCTAACAGGACTGGGCTGAAACCCTCTCACCCCCTCCAGACCACAGGGCAGCACCCTCTTCCCCTTGAGACCCCTGACCTGGGAAGGGGGCTGGCACATGTAGAACTTGGGCCATCCTCTGGTCTGCAGATACTCCTCAAGAATCACTTGGGGGCTCAGAGTCAGACTCTGCAGCACAGGCAAGACTTATCTGGGGAGAAGAGGGGGATGGAGACCTGAGTTAGGAAACTGGCCACCCCTCTTGCACAGCTGTCCCACTCCCAGCTTCCTCCTGCCTGGGTCCAGGATACTCTCATAGACGCTCAGGGGCCTGCTGCAGAAAGGGGCGGGGGTGGGGGGGGCCCCTCGGCCTAGAACAAAGAAACCAAACCTCACAGTCTGCCCGCACATCTGTCCAGTGCCTGGACAGGCTCCAGCTGTTCCCACAACCCTGCCTCCACAAGGCCCCAGGGCTGGGGTGGGGGGCAAGCTAGACAGACCTCACCCTTCCTGCAATCCATCCCTTCCCTTTGGCCCAGGGGCTGGCTACAGGGTCAGATGGGGGCTGAGGTGTCTAAAGAGGGGGCTGGGCCACAAAAGGGGAGACAGTCTTCCTGCAAATATCTGAGGAGACAGAGACACAGGGTTACAAAAAGTGATAACATTCAGGGGAGAGTGGGGGAGCTAGGGAAAGCTGGGGAAGAGGCAGTGAAGAGTAAAGCCTTTCCCCTTTTTGGAAACAATTTTCTCTAAAAATAAACAGTTTCACTGCTGGGCTACATGAGAACTTCCTGTCCCCCCACCCCCAGGACACGTCCGGCTTGGGGGTGCAGCAGGGATAGAAGGCAGGGGCGGTGGCCTGGGAAGTCATGGGGGTGGAGGGAGGAAGTATGAGGGGGTGCCTGGAGGCTGCAAAGGGGAGAGACAATCAGGGTCTCTCACTAGCCCCCCTCAGCCCTAGATTCCTGCCAAGGCTCTTTTGTCCCTAGTACTTTGCCTCAGCTTGGTTAGTCCTTTCTGTTGTCCGACCTCCTGCTGCCCTGCTGCAGCCTACCCCAACAATAGGAAAGACTCTTCTCAGCTTGTGGGTGCCAGGAAAGCAGGCAGGTACCTGGGAGGATGGACCAGGTGGGAACCTGCTGGACATGAAGGCAGGACAGGGACTCCTGGCCAGCTGTGCTCTTCCTAGTCCCCAAGTCTCATGTGTCTCTTCCTTAGTCTCTCTGCATCTCTCCAGGTTTCTGTCTCTGTGTGTCTCTCCACTTCTCTCTCCCTGTCTCTCCACGTCTCTGTCCTCACTTCTGTTTCTCGATACCTGAAACACATGGTCACAATTACAGGAAATTTGGTTATCCATGTGCCTGAAGGCTCACCCCCTGTACAACAGGTTGGTGACTAAACTTTTTTCAGAGGACCAAAGAGTGGAGGCAGGGAGTATGACTGAAATACAGCAATTATTTGATTTTTAAGGCTACCATAACTGATGGGGCAGGGGAGGTCACAGAAACTGGGCGAACAAAGAATGGAACAGCGAGGTGCCCAGAATTACTGGAGGAGGAAGTGGCTGGGTCTGGATTTTAACTAAGCCTGGCAGATTCCCCCACTCCACATCCCTCTACCCATTTCCCAGACAGAAATACTGAGGTCTGGGGGAGGGGGCGGTTTCCAGTCCTTAACCTTCTGTGTGGGCCGGTGACTCCAGTGGATACAGCAGGTGTGTGTGTGTGTGTGTGTGTGTGTGTGTGTGTTTTCAGGAGGGAATGTCTGTGGCTGAGATTCCTCTCCTATGGGTCTATGGGTCTCGTGGAGGATGGGGGAGGATAGGCGGTAAGAGCGATGGAGAGGAAGGACACTCCAAGAAGCCATAGGTGGGCCAGGGACGCAAGGAAAGCGCGAGGGGGAGCATCGGCAGAGTCTCCCTAAAGCCTCCCTTCCAAATCCGCCTGGCCATCTTCCACTCCTCTCCACCGCCCCAAAGACAGAGGCAAAGAGGATCCCGCCCTGAGAGGGGGGGTGGGGGGGGCGGGGCCTGCGGGGTCCCTAGCTAATGGCAAACAGCTGCCGCTCCCCACGCCCGCCCAGCCCTGAGGCCAAGGCCCAGTCCGGCCGGCCGGACGCCGGGACGCCTTCCCGCCGCTGGGGCCTGGCTGCGGCGGAGGGCAACGGCCTGGGGGAGGCGGGGAGGGCAAAGCGGGGCGGCAGAGAAAGGTACCGAGATAGTGCAAAGGGGCCGGGGGTAGGCAGTGACGGGGCAGAGGGGCAGGAAGAGAGGTATAGCTGGAGGAAGATGGTGTGAGGGACAAACAGGGTCAAAGATGGGGAGAAGGCAGAGACGCGGGGACCGAGACACTCAAAGTTCAGAAAGTTTGGGAATAAATGGTGGAGTTGAAGACAGCAGCTCGTAAAGACTAGTGAGGCCGCGCCCCGGGGTTGGAAGTGGGGGCCGCCAGGGAACCCAGACTTGACTCGAACCCCGACCCAGCCCCGGGTCCTACTCGCCTCGCACACTCGGCCGCCGCCGTCCCAGCGTCCCGCAGCCAGGGCGTCCTCCGCGCGCCGCCACCAGGTCGCCCGGCCCTCGATGGTAGCTCCTCCCCGCCCCGCCCCTCCGGACCAGCCCCGCCCCCTCCAGCCCAGGCCAGTGTTGGGGGGGTGGTATAGAAGGGGGGTAACTCTCCAGGACAGTCGCACCTGGACTACAGGTAGGTGTGTGTGTGCACGCGCGCGCGCCTGGCCTCGCGCCCCAGCACCCTGAGTTTCCGAGGCAGGGTACCCCCAACGCTGTCCAGGCCACCCCAGGGCCGCTGCAGGGGGTGAGAGGGGGCGGGGCTGGCTGGGGCCCAGCTCCGGGAGGGCTCGGAGCTTGGGGCGCGGTGGCAGGTCACTCCCCCCACCCCCTCCGCCTGCTCAGCGCTGGAAGCAGCTCCATGCCGGCTGGTACTTGGTGGCGTTAGCAACAGGGGCGGGCGGAGAGTGGAGCTGGGTCAGCTGGAGGCTACAAGGGCCGCGGCCAAGGCTCCGTGGCCAGACAGACCTGGGCTCTAATCCCAGGCCAGGCAATCCTTAGCTGCTAGGTGTCTCAGTTTCCCCACCTGTAAAACAGGGCCAAGAATGCTGCCCAGGGAATAGTGGTGTTGAGAAGATTCTTGAACCTTGAGGCAGGGAGGGGACTTAGGGAGGTCCCTCAGGCTAAAACACACACAAAAAGACTTTAAACAGTGCGGTCTTGCTGGGAGCCATTTAGTACAGGGTTGGGCACTGGGCAACAATTTGATAAATGCTACTATTATTCCCCCAGTACACGAGACATTGTCCTTTGTGTGTTGCCTTCTCCACTAGAATGTCAGCTCCATAAGGGCAGGAATTTACATCTGTTGTCCCTGCAGTGTCCCGAGCAGACACTGGTTCTCAGTGTCTGCCCAAGGTCAGGGTGTGAGGACAGACTGCACATAGGACCACCTCCAGGGACCACACCACACAGGCTGCTTAAAAAAACCATTTTAAATTAAAAAAAGGTAAGAAGCATCAGTGCATATAGATAGGGACAGACAAGGCACATGGGCCCAGCCCCACATGCAACGTGGCCACTCCATGTCCAAATAGATAGTGGGGAGACTCCAGGAAGACACAGCTGAGGCCACTGTGCTGGCTCCTCTGTGTGTGGCTTCAGGCCCTATGGGTTCAGAGGTCTGCCTTCCGGAAACTTGCTCTGTTCAAGGAGTTCCTGAAGGAGGAATAAGGTAGGTCAGCATGGGCACAACCTCCCCTCTAATTCCATAGTGTTCCCAGACCTCTTCCTTCTCACTCCTCCTTCACCAAGGATCCTTTGAGGGTCTTCCTTGCAACTTTTATATCCTTTATGATCTGGTCATGGACTCACAGATTCTCTCTTAGAATTCATCACCAGAGATAAGAATCACACCCATTTTATAGATAGGGAAACTGAGGCTCAGAAAGATGAAGTCACTGGTCTGGGAACTGATCCACTAGGATCTGCTTTGGCTATCAGCACTTGCATTTGTGTACACATCTGCACATTCACGTGCTTGTGCAAAGCCACAAGGGCAAGCACTGATATGTGTGTACAGAACAGCTGGATCCTGAGCCTATCTCTGCCTGCCTCCTCTTGCCCTCTCTGTGGGCTGGGGTCAGGGTTAGACACCTGAGGCCAGCCACAGCAGGTACCAGCAGCTGGGGCAAGCGCTGACAGAGCAGGGGCTGCAGCGCCTCCCGGAGGCGGGAGTAGTTGCGTTCCAGCTCACGATGGTACTCCTTCTGGTCTGGCCCAATCAAAGCCTTGTTCTTCCGCAGTGCATCCTCACACCTGAGGGTTACATGTAGGAGATGCTCAGGGGCGGGCACTTGGGAAAGAACCAAGATTAGAGGTGAGGAAATTCATGAGATGGGTCAGGACATCTAAATAGAGGTCAGATAGGTATAAGGGACTTAATGGAATGAGAAAAGCAGGAGATCCATAATGGAGATCAGGTATAGCAAGAGGCTGTGGGGGGTGGGAAGGCCAGGTTGCTGGACAGGTTTGACTAGGGGTCAGGTGGCAGAGAGCCATAATGGCAGGTTGAAGGGGCTATGGTAGGGAATCAGGCCTACTTCTTGCAGAAATCCTTAAAACAGAGCCGCAGCTTATTGTGATGCCTGAAGAGCTTGGGGTCTTCTGGAATCTCGGCCAAAAACACCTGGGCTACCTCCAGGGGACCCTATGGGATGATGGAGGCTCATGAGGCAGTCTGCATGACTTCTGGGAGCCTCAGACAGCCTGCGCCCCCCACTGCCATACCTGGTTCACGGTGGGCCCCACAGAGCCCTGCAGCACCATCTGTAGCATCTTGGCATCAGGCGGGTCCTGCTCAGTGGCGAAGGCCAGCTCCCGAGTCTTCTTCTGCATGTCCTCAATAGCCACCTCCACTGGTGTTAGCACCATCTGCATGGTAGGGAAGGGGTGCAATGGAGGGGGTGCAATAAACAACAGTTGAGGACTTATGCCTGCCTGGATTTGGCAGGGTGGGGGTCCTGGCTCAGCTATCTTTGGCTCTGGGACTTTGGTCTGGCTCTGTTCCAGCCTTGGGATGGCGGGGTCTAGAAATAGAGAACTGAGTCTGGAGACTGGGATATAGGATACCTTTTTTTTTTTTGAATCGGGATCTCTATGCACCCCTCCCCTGGGGCCTCACCCACCTCCTCCCGGTGGCACACGCGGATGCGTGTCTTGATGTAGGGGAAGGCGTGGTCCGTGCTGAGCAGCGTTTTGCGTTTGTGCTGTTCTGGAAGCTCCCCGTGTGCACGCCCATCAGGTGTGAAGGGCGTGCAGAACAGGAACGTACGAAGCCCATAGTTGCGGTCAAAGTAGGTCACCCGGTCTTTGAGCTCATAGGTGTCAAAGTGCGGTTCCACATACGTGATCTGGATGTAGGCCTGGGGCACAGGGCTCAGGAGTGAGGCTCCCACAGCCCCAACATGCACACTTCCAGGCTTGCCAGCCTCCCTGCAGAATCCTCCCTGATAAAAGGGATTTGGACCTCCCTGGGACTGGGGACTTTGAGTCTGGGGTTCCCAGGTCTCTCTTTGTCCAGATATTTAGGAATGCCCCAAGAGCTAGGATTGGGAGTCCCAAAGGGAGATACGCTTTGATATTTTCTGGAGAGACAGGATTTGAGGGTCCTGAGGAAACAGTACTTGGAGTGTGTGGGAGGACAGCATTTTGGGGCCCCTCGGAGGATGGTCAGGAGTCCTTACCTTCTGTGGGTCAAGTTTGCTCTTGTCCACAGGGTTTGAGTCTTTGACAATCTCAACCACATTCTCCCCAAACCTCTCTGTGTAGAACTCCTAGGAGACATGGGGCTGACTTGGGGCACAAGGTGCGCCCCCCATTCCATTCCAGGCAAGCCCAAGCCCCACCCACCCACCTCTACCCAGACATGCCTCTAGCCGGTGTGAAATCTCAGCCAGCTTTGTGATAGATGGCTCCTTGTACACGAACTCCTGCTCATCCAGGTCTCCAAAGTGGGCACCATAGAAGCCCACTCGGAAATAGGTCCCAAAAACACGCTGTGGCTGTGGGAAGGGACATTGCCCTGGGAAGCTGCTTTGGGAGGTATCCCTGCATCAGAGTCCCATATGGGGAAGAGGCTAGCATGGGAACGGGACCTGAGATACCAGCTGATGGGCATAGAGGACTCTAAGAATACTAGGTCATGGGCACAAGTAGGGGGCATCCTGAGATATAGATGTCTGGACTCAGCTCACCACCGGGTGGCCATGCCCTCGTTCTGTCTCTCCAGCCCTGTCTCCTATCTCCACCACACCTCATCCTCATTTAAAACAAGTCCTTAGTTTCTGTTTCACCCTCTCGCCCCATGCAGTTCCTCAAGAGTCTAGATCTCAGTATGAAGTTAGGTCTAAGACTCCACAGCACACAGCTGTGTCCTCAGTGTCTACAGGTCTGGTTATACTGCAGGTGCTCAATAAATGCTTGAGTGACTCTGGGAAAACATGACTATCTCCTGTGGAACAGAGGCTCTGGCTTCCTTGTTCTAGGACATTCCACACCCCCAGCCTTAGTTTGGAAGGAGGATCCCACCCCGCATATATTACCCTCCGCTGGACAGGAAGGGGAGACTCCCATGTGCACTCACCGAGGCAGATGCCGGCAGGTGGGGCAGGTACGAGGAGAACAGGGGGAGGGGCGGAACAGATACACAAAGTCACAGAGAGGCCAGAAGTCAGAGCCCGGCCCCCAGGGTCCTGGTTATGTTGTCTCTCCTTGGGCAGAGACCAGAGATCCAACAAGGGGACTGCCGGCCCCACCTGGCTCCCATGTTGCCCTCCCTCCTGGGCTCTGGGTTTCTGCCATCTTTGGCCAGAAATTTCTCCCCAAACTAGGAGAGGCCTAAAAATAGACCTAAGTGTAGAGAGGCGGGAGAGGGGGAGCATGCATTAACTGGAAATGAAGAACAGAGATCCTAGGGGAAAGATGGAAAGACAGGGAGAGACAACGAAAGTGAACAAGATGGGGAGAGACAGGGAGAGGAGAGATGAAGGGAAGAGACCAAGCCATGAGGAGACAGACAAAGAGAAACAGACAGGGAGTGGGGGGAACCCCTCCTAGGCTGTGACCGAGCTGGCTCTGCAGAGGGAGGGGTATCTTGGGAGAGCTCCCAGCTGAGTGAGTCACAAGCTGCCCTCAAGATCTGGGGTGGGGGAGGAAAACCTGAGGGAAAGGGGGAAGTAGTGGGGGCTCAGCCAGAGCCTGAGCCTTCAGGCTCAGAAAGAGCTGTGCTCTTTCAGCGCCCTCTGGTGGTTGCTGACCTTTGCTGACCAACTGTCAAGGGGGCTTTAGAGGTTAGGTAGGGTTGACTCACCTCCCAGCCTGAGCTCTGTGGGGAAGAGAAAGGTCAAGGTCAGCTGAGTTTGGGGGACCGAGTCCAAGGGTCAAGTACAAAGAGGGGTTCCTGGGCCCACCTGGTGCATGATCTTGGTGAAAGCCTCCTGTAGTTTGCCATGCACGGCAGCCAGCTTCTTATAGTCACGGTGGGCTTCCAGAATGGGGATGAGAGTCTTATAGACCTCATTCACTGCTTCATAGAGCCCGCCCTGCAGGTGAACGTGACGGGCACATGAGGACTCTTCCACGGACAGATCTAGCCACCATTGCTTCCTCCAGGAAGCCTACCCTGACCACCCTTGCCCCAGATGGGTCCCAACCTTTCCCCTTCTGGATTCTCCCAATGAAATTTTTGTCTCTGAGATTCCAGAGCAGTAGGCATTGCAGGGAAAAAAAAAAAAGAAAAAAAAAACACAAAACAAAACTTGCTGGCTTTTTTTCAGGGGAAACTGAGGGAAGGTAAAGTGACATCTTAGGAACACAACTGGCCCCATGCAAGTCAGAGGGCCTCTTGGAATAAAGTTCAGGTCTCCAACACACAAACATGTTTGCCTTCACACAAACAAGCAAATGTGAGGGGAAAGTACTTGGTGTTAAGGTTGTGCATCTAGGGTTTAATGTGAGCTGGAACTTCTCTGAGGCCTGAGGAATCACTAAGCTTTTGTTAAAATGCTGGGGTGCCAGGACACTACTTCTAAGAGCTTCCAGATGATGCCTATCCTGAATATCAAGGGTTTAAATATACTCCAGTTAGACATCACAGGTGGTTTTATCAACTTGTGAAAATTGTGATTCTCATCTTTTTATATGTTTAAAAAAAAGCAAAGCAGAGCTAAACATCAAGGAGATAAAACAGGAAGTAGAGGTGCCTGAATTTAAATGCTCAGTAGGAGGCATTTGCTATGTGCTTGAAGCTTTCTGTAATAAAATTGTTTCAAAATAATAGCTAAGTGTTTTGAAGGCTTACTATAACCAGGCCATAGGCCAGAGTTTTAATGGGAGAAAGATAGGTAATGGAACCCTTTGAGTGATCCTGTTTTCCTCTTCATATCTCCTGCCAGGAAAGGCAGCTTGAGTCTCTAAGAGCAGGTATCAGCTGTCAGTTGACCTACAAGGCCCCCCCCACTTAGCCCTAGTCCTGCAGCGGCCCAAGGCCTCACCATGGTGAAGTAGGCAGCTGCCTGCTCCAGGAGTCCCACCAGCCCCAGCTCTGTGAAGTGCTTCCCGGAACAGAAGCCCTCCTCGTCAGGCGACAGGATGTCATCGGAGATGGCGGACTCCTCTAGCACGTTGGATGAGATGTTCTGGGGTAGGACAAGGTGTCAGAACCCAGTCCCCAGCCCACACGACACCCCCTTCCTGCCTGGTGGCTTACCTGGAAGGAAACGCAACCCACAGGCAGATACCGGCTGTCCTCAAGCAGAGCCAGGTATTCGGCCACCAGGGCGGCGGCATGCACCATGCACTGGGCAGCCTCCGCATGGTTGCCCAGCTCAGCATGCTTCCCTGCCATGTTCTGCAGCCACGTCAGCCGAAGATCTGGGGAGCCCTGGTAGCCCCGGGCAATCCTGGCACCCAGATGAGGCGCAGTGAGGAGGGGGACTCACCTTGTCTTCCACCACCTACCCGACTTACCCCTTTTGTTTGTTACCTCACCCCTCTGCCACACTAACCACCAACCTTCTCACAGTACCTATCCACCCCCACATCTGACTCAGCTCTCCACCCCTCACCTGTCCATCCCTTCAATTGTCTCTTTCCCTGTTATTCTACTTATGTTTCTTTTCATTTGTCCTTCTACCTGCTTCCCACTGACAGTCAGATTCCCCACTGTACTCCCTCCAAAGTCTCTGCACCTGTCCAATCTTTCACCTACTTCCCTCTCTGTGCCACACCTCACCTGTCTTCCATTCATACGTCCATCATCGCCCTCTTCCTCTATTCCCCGTCTCCTCACTTCTCTAGTCCCTCAACTGCTCATCTTTATATTGCATCCGGTGTCATTCTCTCACTTGTCCTGCTATCACTGCCATCTGGATCCACAAGTCATGCCCTAGTCACTGGTCTCCTGCTTATTCACCAGCTCACCCATCTACGCAGGCCCGTCCCTATGTTCCTTCATCGCCTGCCCTCTCACATCCTGATTTCTTACTGTATATCCCTCACCCCTCCTCCAAATCATTTACTCCCCTGATCTGTAATCCCTGCAACTGCTGTTAGCATCTCCCCTGTCTCTCCCATCTGCCCCCTCACTTGTCCTTGTTTCCAGCTGTCATCTTTATCTGTAGGTTCCTCTGCTCTTAGTGTAGTAACTCATCTGTTCCACTCACAACCTACAGCTCACTACCTACTCTCCCCTGATCTGTCTGTGTGTAACAGTGGCTCCAGGTACCACCTGGCCTGTCTTACCTGTACATGAGGTCTATGAGCATTTCAGGGTCCTCCTGGTGCTCCTTCATCTTCACTGTATCCGTCAGGATCATATGTAAGTTGAACATTAGGTCCTGCACCTGCAGCAGGTAAATAACCGGAGGCCAATGAGGACACTGGGAAGCGAAGAGCCAAGGTGATGGTGTCAAGGCTAGCTGGGTGGACAGAGACCCAGGTGATGGGCGGGGGGTCAACAGGATCACCTGTTCAGCGAAAGTGCTATCCCGCAGCCCCACATCCTCCTCAGCATAGGTGAGGATGGTCTTTAGTGATCGTCGCAGGTGCTCTTCACTGAAGTTTTGCGTCGTTCCCACCAGGGACGAAAGCGACATGGTCACTTGCATCTTCACACGGGCAAAGTTCTGTGAGGGCAAAGGTGGGGGCACCTCCCCTCAGGATGTTTATCTGATGACTTCACCTCTCTTCCCAAGCAAGACCCCCCATTGGTCATTCTCCCCAAGCCTTGCATAAACTGCCTTCAGCACCCCCTTACATTGCCAATCTCGAAATTCTGGCGCATGAGGAGGTAGAGTGAGGCGCTGGCATGCGTGCGGATGGTGCTGATGCGGCTGCCGCAGTGTCGTAGGAGCCTCAAGCAGAGGTCAGCACATAGCTCCGTGTCCTCCTCGAACAGCAGCTCTGGGAACTGCCCCCCAGGGTCAAGACAGACAGTGGTCAGTCCCTCCTGGGTCTGGCTCACAGGGCCGCAGTGGGGATGCTTGCAAGGGCATCTGTCCGCGTGCCCCCCTATGGCTAAGCACAGCAGGCTTTGCTGTCAGACCTGGATTTTGGCTCTTACTGTATGACTGAGCGAATGATTTTGTCACTTAGAGCCTCAGTTTCTTCCTCAGTAAATGGTAGCTGAGGAGTGTCATGGAGGTGCCTAGCACAGAGCGAGTACTCAGTGATGGGTGTGACCATGGCTCTAAGAACTGTGGTTGTAACGGAAAGTAACGGCAGTTGTTGAGCAGCACTCACCTTGGACACCAGAGCCCGTTGTGTGGCCAGACCATGCTGCAAGAAGAGAGCACTCTGGGCACTGCCCAGACTATACAACACGACCTTCAGGACTGCACCCAGGATACTCTCCCGGGCCTCTGACAGCACCACTGTCTGGGGGATCAGAAACCCAGCTATTAGAGACTAGGGTGGTTATGGAGCGATTACAGTCAGAGATCACGAGGTGCTCTGGTGAGGCCAGAGGGCAGGAAAGGTATTGGATGAAGCCCTACCTGCACAATGATCTCCAGTGTGTCCAGAACCACCAGGCTCACCTCCGTTGCCAAGTTCCCATCCACCAAGGCCTCATGTTCCATTTCATCCTTGGTTCTAAAGAAGAGGAAGGGCTCGGGGAGCTCCACCCCAACGCGGCTCTCCCCCTTCGTTGGGTGCCCCCATGGGTGCCGATTCCCTGGAAACTGATCTGATCCCAGGCACTACCTCCTGCCCACACCCACTTGTCAACACGGTCTGAGGTTTGTCTCCAATGTGTGATGCTCTTCCGCCAGCGAACGTTCTCCTGGTTCCCAAATGGGCTCCTCTCTGGGACACAGGCACGTGATCACAGATGTGTAGACAGAAGGAAACACATGGCTGTGAGAACTGCACGGCACCAAAATACACTGCGGGGCAACCCGAGGAGACTGGGTGGGGGGTGCTTGATGAGCAGCAAGCAGGTGTGAGGGCAGTCCATGAGCAGAGGGGTGACACGTCAGCTGGACAGAGAGGAAGGGGTGGTCCCTCTCTTGGGGCAGTCAGATGCAGGTTGGGATGAGCGTATGGGGAAACCTCCCTCTTACCTCGGCTCCGGCGCACCATCTCTTGTCGTGCTCCTATGGTGCCCAGGATGGCTTCCTCCAGGCGAGCCTTCATGTCCAGCGACTTTTTGAAGGTGAGGCTGTTGATGCGCTCAAAGGCCTTTTTCCCCTGGAAGGGTAGAGCATGAGGGCAAGGTGGACCTGGGCAGGTCTAATCCCTCTTCTTTTGGCTCTTTTCTACCTCTAGGAACTTGTGCTTGAACACAGAGTTCTTTCCTTGGCAACTTCCAAATTCTACTCCTGAACTCAATTTTCCTTCTCCTCTTTGGCTTGGCAAAAATGCAGAAACCATAAAGACATCCACCCCTGGGGCCTCCCTGGTGGCACAACAGGTTAAAATGCTTCACTATAAGCTATCTGCAGCCACTGAAGCACAAATTCCATCCCTGGCCAGGGAGGTGACCCACACAGTGCAGCAGACCTCTCCTGCCTCACCCACTGCTCCCCTTAGCAGTGTATTTCAGTCAGTCTGCCTAGTCTGTTCCCTACTCCGTCTCTGGTGAATCCTCTCACCCCATGCACCTCTGGCTTGTACCCCAGTTATTGTATTTATAAATAAGTCTGGAAAAAAAAAAAAAAGACATCCACCCCTTCATGCCAGCCCACAGCACCCCGGGTCCTGTAAAAACACCCAGCCTGCCTTCTGTACTCCAGACCCCTGCCCACACCCCCAAACCTTGTATTCGAAGGCAGCCAGGCAAAGGTACAGCAAATCCAAGAGACGGCCCAGCTGAGGGAGGGCCAGGTCAGCAGCCCAGCGCTGCAGAAGGGCTGGCTCTGCATTTTTCAGCACCCACAGCACACACACAAGCAAGGTCCGGCTCGACTCAGCAGAGAGGGGACAGCCCGAACGAGAAGCCTGGAGCCAGAGATGAGACAGGGTACTTCCTATTAGATGAGTACTGGCTGATTTGTGTTTTATGTAACTTCTATTACTAAGTTGGATGGTGTCTCTGGGGACCAGCCCCATTGTACTCACTGTCGCTTGGCCTTGGGAGATGCTGGTCCGGGAACCAGGTGCCAGGGGGCCACCAGCAATGGCCATGGCCACAGAAGGGTTGATGGTGCTTCCAATGTCTTCTTCACCGTCTGTGTCTGAATCTAGCATCGAGGCCAATCTTGACCGTTGACCTGGGCCCTCTAGGGGGAAACATAAGGGGAGAGAAGAATAAGCTCTTACTAACTGTTGTCTCTCAAATTCCAGTTCAAAAGTCAAATCCTCAGGGAAGGCTTCCCAGATACCCCACCTCTACTTCTCACCATGGTGGGGTTTCCAGTTATCTACAGCCAGAGATCACATATTCTTATTATTAGATACATTCATTGTGCAGCCCTTGGTAAGAGCCACAAAGGCCGGGACCATAAATGCTCTGGCCACTGCTAAATGCTCAATTCTTAGAATGCGCCAAGTCCTCAGGAATAATAACCATAACAACAACAGTAAAGACCGATGCTATTATTATAGTATCAATTGGTGCCTATATAGAATTTCCTGTGTGCCAGGTGCTGTTCTGGACACTTTGAAGTATTAACTCTTCATTTTCAAAACCCTGTGCAAGAAGTACTTTTATCATCCCCATTTTACAGATGAGGTAACTGAGGCACTGAGAGGTTAAGTTATTTGTTTGGGACCATAGCAGGTAAATGGTGGAGCAAATATTTTAACCAAAACATGTGGTTACAAAATCTATGACCTTAAAAGTATACCTTCCTTACCACTGAAGAAATTCTCACCAGACGGAGGAGCTGCCAATAAGTATACAATAGGTCTTACCTAGAGCTCCTTGACATAAAAGGTAGACTGAGGCTAACTATAGCTCCAGCCCAGCTCAATTCCTGACTGGGTTGAGTGGATAAGCCCCTTATTCTATCTAAGAGAGAAGAGACACTCTCACTGGGAGAAGATGTTTCATTCCTAAAAATTCTTTTACAAAAATTTGTTTTATTTTCCAAAAAACAATAAAATACTCTAAGACATGTGAAGAGGCAGGGAAATGTTAAGAGAGAAAAAGAAATACAAGTTATCACATAATTGACCAAACGTTGAAGTTAGCAAACAAGGACTATAAAATAAAGTAGAGGTGAAGGTGGACAGAGGTGTGTAAAAAGATGGAGAATTTCAAAGAAAATTGTAATCTATGTGAAAAAAATCAAAGGGACATTTTGCAATTGGAAAATATAACATCTGAAATTCAGAACTTAATGGATGGGGTTACCAGAACAATGCATATCACATAAGATAGACATAGGGAACTCAAAAGTTCCTCAGCTGAAGCAGAGAAAGAGAGAAAATAATGGGCGACAAGACAGAACACAGCAGACACGTGATATAATCAAAAGGTCTAACATACATGTAATTGGAGTCCCAGGAGGAAGAAGTAAGAAAATGAAGCAGGAAAAAAAAAATCAAGAGATAACAATTAAGAGTTTCTCCCAAATGAAGGGGTTCAACCCACAAATTTCAGCCACTTTACATACCATTCCTCAATATTGCCAACGAATGTGGACATGAGTGCATGAACAAATACAGGCTCCAATAATCTTTTTATTCTGATGTCCTAAAATGTTATAACACTTCCCATGTACCATGACTAACAATATGACCCAGCACTACAGCTGATGTCCACATAACCCTAGGAAGTAGTTGGTGCTACCACTGTCCCCATTCTATATGTCTGACTTGAGGCTCAGAAAGGTTAATGACTTATTTGAGGCCCTATAACAGACTTGAACTTGCCTTCTGACCCTAATATCCATACTACGCTCATGCTTATGCTCTTCCACCTTAACCGACCTGAGCCTTGGGCAATCAATCAAGCCCCTCCATTGTGACCCCAACCTGCCCTGGCCCCCTGACCAGCAAAGTCGTGCAGCCTTGGCAGTGTATCCCGTGCGAGTGCCAGCAGGGGCAGATACAGTTCGGCGACCCGGGCCCTCACAGTGGCCTCAGCATAGCGGGGGTCGGCGTCATGGCCACAGAGCAGGCTGTGGACGGCACTGATGGCTTTCTTGTGCAGCAGGGATGCCCTGTGGGGTAATGCAGTGCTCAGGGCAGAGTAGCTAGAGCTTCCAGACCTTCCCATCCGCCCTGGGGCCAGACAGGTTTGTGTTTACCCCTCAGTTTCAGGTTCCAGAGCCAGAGCCAGCTCTGTCAGCAGAAGCCCAGCCAGGAAGTGCTGCTGCCGGAACAGCCCGCTCAGCTCAAACATGCTTGCCACCTTGGGGTCTGGAGCCTGGCTGGAGAAGGTGGAGCTCTGCAGAGGGTAGGGGGAGAAAACAAGGATGGCAGTGCGGTGCCTGTGATCAAAGGTCAGAGGTGAAAGGTTAGTTCATTTGGAGGAGACAGTGACATGGGGTTGAAAGTCAGAAGAGTGTGGTGACAGGGTCTGGGGTCAAAATCAGAGGGAGGTCTGAAGTTAGGGTTTAGGAGTGGGATATTAGAATTGATTCTCCTGGAACAGTTAAGGTTGAGGGGTGAAGGTGAAGAATTAGAGGTAAGGGACAGTGGACCCATGGACAGTGGACCACAATGAAATGGACAGAGATAAAGGAAGCAGAGATGATGGGCTTAAGGTGGGAGGTCATAAGTCAAAGGGATGAAATAAAATCGACCCACCTGGGAGGTGGTGGAGGATATGGAAGGTGAGGGAGAGGCCGGGGGTGACAGAGGGCAGCAGGGGAGGTTGAGGGTCACGTAGTGCTCGTGGCTGCACAGGATACGGGTGAAGTCCATGCGCAGGGTCTGCAGAGCTGCTGGATTGGGGGCTGACTGCAGCCGCGTGGCTACCTGTGGGGTCAAAGGTACAGGCGATAGTGACATGGTAGTGTCCACCACCCAGCCAGTCAGTCATATGCAGGCGTACTGTGCCCGTCACACAAACTCCTACCTGCTTATAGTGGGCCCGGATCAGGCTGAAGACGAAGCCGCGGTCTGCCAGGGACAGCAGATCACTGAGGAAGAAGGCCAGGCTGGCATTGAGGCGCTCAGCGAGCTCTGCATCCTGGAGACACAGGGGTGAGTCAACCACACCCACTGGCCGCATCAAGCCTAGGGTCCCTGCTTGAAGCCTGGCTTTCGTCAAGGGTCAGCCCCTTCCCATCCTCTTCTCTTCAGGTATCAGGGCACTCTTCAGCATTGAACTGTACACAGACTCCATTTCCCAGGCTCCCTTGCAGCTGAATCTAACCAAATGGCCATATTCTGGCCAGTGAGATTTCTGGGGAAGTGATGTGGTTCACATTTATGGAAAGGACAGATCCTATGTCCTCACGTCCCACCCTCCTCCACTCCCTATCTCTTGCAATGCCTAATGTGGCAGTGCCAGGCTGAACCGAGATGATCAGGCCCACATTGTGGAGGCCACCTTCTATCCCCTACCCCCTGCAGCCCACTTATGCTTAGAATTAAACATAGGACACATTCAAGACATTTGTGTTTATGTCCATGCAAATTAACCTCTGCTCTAACTGACATGGCCTCATCCATCAATTACTGAGCATCTACTATGCACCAGTGAGTGACACAGATAAAAGTCTCTTTTGCTTGTCTGGCTCGCAGTCTTATGTATGTACATGAGGGAAGGGGAGGCCAGGGAGGAGGGAGAGATCATAAACTAAAGGATTCCAGATAGATCTATGTATTCTGAAGGCAGTAGAACAAGGCGCTGTTTCAAGAGAAGCCTGAAGGACAATAAAGATCCAAGGAGAGAAAGGCATCCTGAGCAGAGGGAACAGGACAGGATACCCCTGGGAAGTGTAAGGAATACCCATGCGGTGTTTTGAGGCCTGGCTGGTACTCACTCTGCCCCTCTTGCACTTCTAAGTCATTCTTTAGCCTCACAAGTTAATCTCAGTGGCCCTCAGTTCTTTGCAACCCAAAAAATGAAATACAGAAGCACCGGAGCTCTGAGTCTTGGGGGCAAAGACAGGTCTGCCTTATGCATGGAACCTGGTAGTCTGTGTTCAATAAATGGCACAAGAAGGAATAAAACCACTGCGGCCTGTCACCAACGCCTCACAGATATTTCTGAAGGTGTTTCCTCACAATCTGGGAATGCCAGCCCTCAGGGACACGCCAATGAAACAAGGTTGAGACCTTTGAGACCAGCCCAGAGGTCACAGGGGATTGCACAAAGGCTAACTTGGGCCAGACAGGGTGTTTCAAAACTCTGTAAAGTTCCCATCAAATCTAGAAGTCCCATTTCTCATTACAAATCACTTTGGCTACGGTTAACAGATACATGCCCGTGGGCCACCATAAGCCCCATTCTCCCAGAGGAAGCTGGTAGTGAGGTGAGGATGTGGGCTTTGGAGTTGATGGGCTAGAGTTTGAACTCCTGGGGCATTAGGTCATTTTGACTCAGTCATTTTCTGCCCGTGTTGCTATCTTTATGGACTTGCTGGAAGAATGAAATGATAACAACCTAAAGTACTTAGATGCATATAAAACAGTCAGTAAATGCTCAATATTATTTTCATTATTATTATTGCTTAGCTTCTATGGGTATTAGAATTAGTGATCCAGGGCCTGCACAGTCATCAAGCTCTCAGAACATCAGTGTCTATCTGGTGAGCACCTACTGTACTCTGGCACTGCAAAAGGGCTAATGGATCTGTTGTCATGTCTTCGCCACCGCCACTATCCCCCACTTTGTTCAGTCGATTCCATTATGAAACACCTCACTGTTCCTCTATCAGCTCAGAGGCACAGTTCTACCCCAGTACCTGTGTACTTGCTATTTGCCTGCCTGGAATGTTCTTCCTCTAGACATCACCTGTATTGGTCCTCAACTCCTTCTAGTCTTCCCTAAAGATCAGTTCCATCAGGGCAAATGCAGGTCTGTTCTGCTCTCTGTTGTCTCTGGTGCCCAGCATGGGGCTGAACACACAGTGGGTATTCAAAAGACAGACAATGAATGAACATACCCCTCCAGCAAATAGGATTCATGGTGTCACGGTAAAGAACATCTATGCAGGATTAGCGCACCCTGGTGCTGCAGGCACCTCCCTCCTCACCTTGTAGACGCGGGTAATGACCTCCAGGCCTACAGAGCCCACCAGGGCAGTGATGTCATCCAGGAAACGCCCAGGAAAGCGAAGCTTGCGGGGTGTATCTAGTTTCCGGCTCAGGAGCAGGTGCAGTGCCATGCTTTTCACCTGGGGGAGGGGAGGAGCCAGGGCTGGGACTGGAGAGCTCAGGGTTGTGCCTGAGGCCTGTGGATGGGGCTTGCACCTTGTTGTGTTGGAAGTGACCTTAGGCAGAACCTGAGTGGGTTCTAGGCAGAGCATAAGGAAGGGAGGTTGTGTAGGAGGGACTGGAGCAGGTCTCTTGGGGCAGAGTCTGTGAGTAGGGGCTTGAGGGTCTGGTAGAGGCCCGGGTTGGCTCACCAGATTGAGGGGATTGTAGTGAGAAGGAATTGCTCACCATCTCTTGAAAAGTTTGGATGGCATTTCAAGTCTGTTCACAAGGGATTCCCTGTCTATCTGGGGCGATCTCTTGTGGGAGTGAGAGGGAGTCTCCCGGGTTAGGGATCTTTCAATGGTCTCACTAGATAATCTCATAGAGAAGGTGGGTGAGGTCCTCTCTCTGTGGAGGGGGCTTCAAATGAGTTTCAGGGGATTCTTCTCTAGGGAGAGAGCCCCTTGGCATCTCCTATCTCTTATTTGTGGGGGGGGGTCTCATGTCATTTCTAAGGGTCGTAGGTGCAATCTCATGGGGCATCTCTCTCTAGAAGAGGGTCTCCATAGAGGCCTCACTCTAGGTGGGGAGGAGGATGTCTCACCATGAGCTGGAAGAAGAACCAGGCATGCTGCAGGACAGCCTCACGCACGGCACTGCTGCTCACCACCCACTGCAACGCCAGCTCCTCGTGAAGCAGCTAAAGACAGAAGCAAGGGTCACAGAGAGTAGAGAGGCTCCCTGCTGAATCCACCCCTGGAGGGCCTGATGGGGTGGGATGCAGTTGAAGTTTGGGGTTAGAGCAGAGTGAGACCGTGCGGGGAGGGAAGGGAAAGGGGAGGGAGGAGTCAGCATGACCTTTCCCTGGGCTATTGAGGGAGGGCACTCTGGATCTTTTTGCTGGGGGCTGGGGCCAAAATTGTGCCGCCCACCCTCCCTCCACTACCTTGTGCATAGTGGGTCTTGGCTGGGTGGATGATGGGGCTGAGGAGGCGCCCTCAAGGTAGGAGGAGGTTCGGTTAGGGTTGCAGTCGATGGCCTATGATGGGGTGAAGTAAAGAGGATGGGATGGCAAAGGGGGTTAGTGTGGGTACAAGCAGCAGGGCAAAGATGGAGAGAGACAGGTTAATAAAGATCAACATATGTGGATATAGACAGAGAAGGCAAGACATGCCACAGGAGATGAGAATAGTGGCAGAGATTCAGTCAGGAGGTAACACAGGGTGGGAGTGAGGCAGCAGCTGTCAGGGAGGAGCAGGCATGGAAGGAACAAGAGCCAACGCAGACTATGGTAAGAGAGCAGATGGCCTGAGACAGTGTAGTGGAGAAGACAAAATCAGCATAGAAAGCAGAGAGTGTGGTCAGAGAAGATGGAGTGGGTATGAACGGGAGTAGAGGATTCATGGATCCAGGAGTGGGAGAGAAGAACACAGAGGTGGAGGAAGGAGTGTGGAGACTGGGAGTAGACATGAATTAAAGGGAGGCTAGAAAGAGGAGGAAGAGCGATGAGGACAGAGGAAGTAAACGGTGATGAGAGGCATCAAGAGGCTGAGCGAGCCCCAGGTTCCATGTTTGGCCCAATCCAGCCTTGCTGGGGGCCTCACCAGGTCTCAGTGTCTCTACTGTCTGTACAGTGGGTTCAGGAGACTCAAGCTCCACTCTTTCCTCTTCCTTCACTGACAGGAGGTAAAGACACTGGCATTGGCTAGTATGATTACAGAAGTGATAGGTCCCTGGGATCTACCCAGGCCCCTGGTTTGGCACGTGAGGGCCACCGGCTCCCACAGTCCAGCTAAGCCCTGGATTCTCAGCAGTAGCAGGTGGGACATCCACTGCAAAGGTCAGCTTTGGTGCCCCCCCCACCTGGAATGTCCACCCTCCACCATCTTGTCACGTCCTATTTGCCCTTCAAGATCCAGCTGACGCCTCAGAGAACAGAAGGCACTGGGGAAGCCTTGTCAAAATGCTCGGAGGCTGGCAATGCCAGTGAACTCAGATACCTGAAATTCTGGGAGGGAGCTGCCTGTCCCTAAGTTCCCCTGTCCAAGTTAACAGTTCCCTCTGGATCCCCATGCAGTGCAGGTTACAGGGGTGATGGGTGCACAGCTGAGCTGGGCCTGACTACATGTGGCCTGTGGGCCTCTGATCTTAGCCCAAATCCTCTGTGTGTACTTTCCAACCACCTGGAACACCCACCCCCCTGGCTGACTTTATCTCACCCTTCAGCTCCCAAGCAAAATGTCACCAGGAGGGAGGCTGGTGGCCTCCTTGCTGTTCAATTCCTTACGGGCATTTCACATTGTGTTCTCACACACTTGTGCATTTATTTAATGGGTTAGCAGCTCAAGGGTGAGGTGGGGCTTAAATCTGCAACCTAACAAAATCCTGCCTGGATGCCCTAACTAAATCCTTCCAAGAACCAGGACCACAAAGCTGACCACTTTTACTCTTGAGTCTTTACCACACCAGAAATTCAGAGCCTGGGGCACAGGGTGAGCCAGTAGCAGAGCCAGGACTCCAACCCAGAACCCACACCAAGGTTCTAGGAAGGGGCAGGTCAAAGCAATGGCCTTTAGGAGTCCCTTTGCCTAAAGTGGAATAGGGGAACCCAGAGGTTCAATTCTGGCCCCTGGACACTAATCAGGCTGCTGTCAGGAAAACAGCTGAGCATCCCTTGAGCAGGGTGGATTACAGGGAAAGGAAGTGGCCATGCAGGGCAGTGAGGGTATAGTGATTGGATTTGCAAATTATTTGCATGTGATCTGTATGCCACCCTGCCCCATCTGTTTCTGCTGGAGGTTGTCGTCTGTATGGCAGCAAAAGGCTGGTTAAGGAGACCCTGTGAAGTCTACATACCAATTTCACAGCCCCAAACAAGTTCTACCACCTCCTTCAGGCAGCCCTCCTAGGTTAGTCAGTGGTTAGTCAGGTGGAACGAGCTCATGCTTAGTTGGGGCCGCACGCGCGTAGGGGCAAATGGGAGGCACCTGTCTGGGATCAGCCCCGCAATAAGGGGGTGCCCGTCGCAGCACAGCCTTGCTGCCTCCTGGAGCATAAGCAGAATTCACCCAGGAATGTGAGCGGTCCACACCCTAGAGATACATGGGTAAGTGGCAGAATCCCTGGGTAGAGGATGGAGAAACCAGAAGGAAAGACCAAGCGTGAATTTGCACTGGACCATATGAGTGTCCGTGTGGCACTTACTCGCAACCCTGGGTGTGCACTTACGTGCATGGGACACACGCACACACATGCCTGCCACGTACATCTGTGCACCGAGTACAGAAGGGTATGTACCCATGTTCCTTTGTGCATGGGGTGCATGAGTACAGGCAGACCTCATTTTGCTGTATCTTGCCTTACTGTGCTTTGCAGATAAGAGTATTTTATACCAATTGAAGGTTGGGTACAACCCTGTGTACAACAAATTTGTTGGCACTGTTTTCTCAATAGTTTCACATCTCTGTGCCACTTCTAAGTAAGGCGTGCATGTTGGGGGTTCCCTGGTGACTAGGGGTTAAGTCTCAGTGCTATCACTGCTGTGGCCTGAGTTTGACCCCTGGTCACATGACTGACCCACATGGTGCAGCACACCTTTTGTCTTGCCCGCTGCTCCCCTCAGCAGTGTATTTCAGTTGATCTGCCTGTTCTGCTCCCCACTGTTTCTGGTGAATCCCCTCACTCCCTGCACCTCTGGCCTATGCCCTAGCTCTTATATGCATAAATTAACTTAAAAAAAAAAAAAAGGCGTGTACCTTGTTTTTTATTTTTTTTTTAAAGATTTATTTATTTGTGCATACAGAACTGGGGTACAGGCCAGAGGCTCAGGGGTGGTGAGAGGCTTCACCAGAGACAGAGAGGGGAGCAGAACAGGCAGATCAACGAAGTACACTGCTGAGGGGAGCAGTGGGCGGGTCAGGAGAGGTCTGCCATGCCATGTGGTCACCTCCGGGGCAGGCGGGAATCGAACTCATGCGGAAGTGGCTTTAGATTCTCAGTGCTGTGCTTTAACCCACTGCGCCACCAGGGAGGGCCCTTGTGTACTTTGGTTTTTTAGACATAATGCTATTGCACTTAACAGACTGCAGTACAGTGAAAGCATACATTTTATATGCACTGGGAAAGAAAAGTTTGCATGACTTTCTTTATTGCAATACGTACTTTACCGTCGAGGTCTGGAACTGAGCCTGTGAGATGGCCGAGGTGAGCCTGTGTATGCACCCGATGGGCATATGTGTGCATGAGTACACACACACATGCAACTGGTGCACTATGCACACTCTGCTTTTTCATCGACCAGGCCATGTTCCAGCCCCCGAGCCTTGGGTCAGCCTGAGAGCCTGGAGCCCAGGGCAAAGTCTGAGCCACAACCCCCACCTTGTGCTAGCCATAGCCCCGGCCCCTCTGCCCATTCAAGCCCATGTCCATGCTGCTGCCGCTGCTGTTCCTGTGTTATGTCAACACTGGGATCCTTCATCTACCTACCTAGCAGCCACGGCCACTGAGGCTGGAGATATCCGGGTTCCCTCGCCCTACCTTGCTAGCCAGGATGCGGGACACCTCATCATCCACAGAGCCAGGAGCCAAAGCGAGGTCAGGGTTGCTGCTGCTGATGCTCTTGGAGCGGGCCAAGTAGAGGCTGGCAGGGCGGCCAGGTCCGTGGGCCAGCGTGGCAGCCTGCACTGTCACGGGCAAGGCCCCTGAGGATGGAGGGAATGTGGTCAGTTTCTTACCCAGCTGCCCTGAGGACCCCAGCCTCTCCCAGTCAGCTGTGCTTAGCCAAGTTGCTTTCCTTCTCTGAGCTTCCAGATACCTTACCTGTAAAATGAGTTCCTGTCGCATATCAATTTTGGGGAGTCTAAAAAACCTTGAGAACAGTACTTGGCACAGAGTAAATGCCTAGAAGCATTTGTGACTGCTATTAATTATTCAGCAAATGAAAAAATTGTAACTTTATTGAGTATTCACAATACCAAGAATTCTGCATGAGTTACCATGATGGGGTAATTATTACCTTTGCTATACAAATGAGAAACAGGCCCAGAGAGGCAAAGCCACTTGCCCGGGGTCTTGGAGCTAGCAGAGCTAAGATTCACTGAGGCAGACTGTCAGTCCAGGATTCAAGCTACAAACATGCTTGCAGACTGGCTGAATCACCTGCCAGTCAAGTATACGGACACCATACCCTTGAGGATTTGGCCAAAAGTTCTCTCTTGCAAGTTGTCCAAACTAGCCTCAGGTCCTTTGCACATGTTGTTCCCTCTGCCTGGAAAGCTCTCCTCCTAGTTATTGCCTATATCCAGGGTTCCCCACCAACACTCACCGCTAGGGAGGCTGGGCTCAGTGCCAGGTAGTCGGAAGGCATAGTGGACATAGGCAGCCAGTAGTGGGCAGTGACCACATGTATCCTGGGCAGCCTCCAGGTTCCGGTGGACAAGGGTGACTACATGAGCCATTGCTTCAAAGACCCCACGACCCAGGTTAACTGCCAGGCAGAAAAGAGGTCAAGTTCAGGGCCCTGAGCTTTCTCTGTCCCTGAGGAAGTGACATTAGGGCTCAGGGAGTCATATAGCCACCAAAGGGTTATAGAAGACATGCATTCACAGGTAAGGGGGCCATTTTTTCAGGTGGGTAAACTAAGGCCAGGTAGTAAGTGGACAACAGGAGGTCACCTAGAACTGGCTGGTTGAAGGGACACTTTTCAGATATGGAAACTGAGGAATGAGGCCTATCAAGTTTACCATACCTATATCAATCTAACGGCAACAATCTAAATTTCTCCCCAACTTTCTTGGTCCCGCTCACCGATCTGGCCACAGATGATTGGGGGCCGCACAACCAGACGAATGAGCTTGTCCAGCACATGGTGGGAGAAAGCTACCAGGGGCTCAGGGCTGGCGAGGCGCAGTGCTGCCAGGCTGGCCCGCAGCTCCTGCTCCATGGTGCCCTCGCTCAGCACGGTGTCCTTGAGCCGGAATGGGAAGGTCCCCTCCTCCAGGACATGCACCAGGGTGAAGAATTTGTCCAGGTGGGGGTCCTGGGTGGGTACCAGAGGTGAGCAGAGAAGGGCCAGGGCTCTAGCTCCAGGAAGGACTCGGGCAGGGGAAAGTGACAGTTGAGGGCTGAGTGGGCAAGAGGCTAGGAATGAATGGACCGATCATAAATGAACAGAGGGACAAAGGAGAAAGGAGGAAATAGCAAGAGATAAAAGAGGAGGTGAAGGGTCAAAGCCCCAGCTGGGAGGGCCACTGGCATGGCTGCCCCCACCTGAGTCAGCAGCTTCCCTGGGAACCTGGCCCAACTGACCAAAGTCACGTCCATGTGCCCAGGCCAGACCTCCCTGGCCATCGGGAACTATTGCCCAACCCCTGGGGTGGGACCCCTGGGTTCCCGCCCTACCCCTACCTGGGGGTGCACAGAGGACACAGCTGTAAGCTCCACACTGAACACGCCCTTGTGACCATCCACCCAGCGCATACCCGGCAGCGCCACCTGTGGGAGGAACGTATCAGGGAGGCACTGGCCAGCCCTCCCCCCAACTGGCCCCCTGGACCCGATTGCAACACTGTGGCCTGAGGATGGCCAGCCTAGAAGAGCTGGCAGGCATCACCCCAGTGGGGGTGAGGGCAAGGAAAGGGAGTACTTGTTACAGGGGTCCCCTGGGCAGGCATGAGAGACTAAGGGGGTGGGGGCAGGGACAGAGAATGGAGATCAAGGGTGAAGGTTAACTGGAGGGAATGAATTAGGAAATAGTATAATGGGAGGCTTAAGGAGAAGTGGGAGGGTGATGGAATATTCCTTGAGAAGTGGGAGTGGGTTGGGTGATGGGCTCTGGATTCTAAGTGCCCAATGGGGAGCTACTAGGCAGCAGTGATTAGAGAGGGCTGTTAGTGGAAAGGTAGTGGGAATTTTAGTGGGAGACAGTGAGTGCCGAGGCAGGGAACACAGTTGAGGTAGGGCTAGTGGGGGAAAGGGAGGGACACACTAGCGGCCAGAGAACATACAGGCCAGTAACGGGAGTGGTGAGGCAGCCAGGGCCCTCGAGGGTCCAACAGAGAACTACAAGGGTGCTCAGGAGGGCAGGTAACTCATTAATAGCAGACCGCGCGGTGGGGGCTGGGAGTGCTAGCAGGGCCAGCATAGGGCACATACATCTGGCGTCAGCACCGAGTAGCTAGGCGGGGGCTGGTCCACCGACACAGGCAGGCAAAAGGGGCCAGTCCGCAGGCGGCCATGTTGCAGCAGCGGTATCCACTGGGGGAAGGCTCGGGGTGAGATGTGGAGCCAGGAAGGGGCCAGAAGGGCGGGGACAGGGCGGGGGCTGGGAGAAGGGGGGCTCACAGTAAAGCCCACAGGCGTCTCCAGGGCTGTTCCTGGCCGGGTCTGGCAGCTGACATGGTAGAAGGTGAAGAGCAGGTGGTGGTTCTCAGTCACACAGGCCGGGAGCCGCAGTTTGAACTCCTCATAGAACTCAGGGGACCTGCCAGGATCAGGAACCTGCTGGGACTTGTTATGTCCCCTCAGACTTCCCACTGTATGCTTCCCCAGTGCGGCCAGGCCCCACCATCTCTGCCTCTAGTTTCCCATGAGTCCTCCCAGAGTCTACCCCTCCCCACCCGCTGCCCCCACCCAGTTCTCTGTCCCATTGGTGCCCTGACACCCCCTCCCTCCCACATACTTGTTATGGTAGACCACTGGTGTGAAGGCCTCCCGCGTAAATTCACTGCAACTGGACTTGCCAAAGATGACCTGGGGGAGCAGGAGCATGAGGGTTCCCCCAGGGATACCCCACCCACTTCCCCAGGGCACAGTCACTGACCGGCAGCGCCTGGCTAGGGTCCTCGCCTGCCATGTACTGCACTCGCACAGTGAGGTTGCGTACGGAGCCTTGGCGGCTGCTGAAGTTAAGACTGTGTGGGTACACGTACAGCAGGTTCCTGGGGGACAAAGAGGGTATCAGAGAGTGGGGCACAGATGGGTACCATCAGGACGCACGTGGGGAAGAGTATGGCAGAGGGTGGGAACAGAGAGACTTTGGGCACAGTGAAGTGGAAGTCAGGGGACAGGTGGGTGCTCAGGGCCAGGGTTCCAAGGTGACCTAGATAGCCAGGGGTCAGTCCCATCCAGACTCACCAGTCATAGCCTGGCTCAGGGACCTGACTGCCCTTTTTGCACAAGAGGCTACTGGAGTTATTTGGTCTGTCCCTTAAGTAGGGACTCTGAGACCAGAGCTGGAGAAGAGGCTGCGCTGAGGACAGTTATGCCCCTCTACTGCAGGACCCCCTGGAGCAGTGTCAGGTCCTCATTACTGTGCTGGCTCTGGACGCCCGGGGTAATTATGCGAGCCCCAACTTCCTTCTAGGCCTCAGTTTCCCTAGCCACATAGTGCAGGCATGAGGCCTCCCCGCTGAGCCTGTGTAAGAATACCAATGACAGCAAACAAAAGTAACATCAGCAAGCCCTCATGTGGCACCTACTGTGTGCTGGGCTCAGTCCTAAGCACTCAGCATGAAACGATTCACTTCACTTCTCACAAGTGGCCGAGAGGCAGGACTAATTCATAGGCAGGGAAAATGCAGCACTTGCCCACAGTCATCAGGGAGAAAAAAAAAGATAGTTGGCATTGATCTGGGGCATGTGTGGGTCCCGGAGTCAGCCGTGTAGCCTTGGGAGAGTCTCTACCACCTTTACCGGCTCCCCCAACTCTTGAGCAGGCCAGCAAAGGTCCCAGCGCTGCAGGCTTGTGGGAAAGGTATGAGGAAACCACTTACCACACAACAGCTCTGGGACACACATGTGTGCTCAAGTCTCACTGTTATCACTGTGGTCATCATGTCTACCCACAGTTGGGGAACCCAAATGAGAGTACCAGGGTCCGCTAGCAGGGCCTGTGCCTATCCTCTCCCACTACTCCCAGCCCACACCTGGCCCTGAGCCCAAGCCAGCGTGATCCCAGCATGGTCCGGCCGGACATCTGCCTGATGCAACTGTCGCGCCACTGCCAGATCCTTGCACAACACAGGGCACTAGCCAGCCAGTTAACGATTGACCAGGGGTTAAGGGGAGTGCTGGGCCATATAAGCCGTGACAGTGGCACCGTGGCTGCATCCCAGACCACCAGTCATGTCCATGTTCTCACTGTGCCTGCTGTACACTTTGGCAACAGTGGCCTGGCCAGCACTGGCAGCCCCCATGGGTGGTCCAGAGCCAGCACAGTATGAGGAGCTCACACTGCTCTTCCATGGGGTCCTGCAACTGGGCCAGGCCTTCAATGGCGTGTACAGGGCCACAGAGACACGGCTAACAGAAGCTGGACACAGCCTGAGCCGCTATGACCAAGCGCTGGGACTCTTGGGACAGGAGGTCAGCCAGGGCCGGGATGCGGCACAGGAGCTACGTACGAGCCTGTTGGAGATGCAGGTGCGTACTGCTGTCCGGGTTTTGTGAAGTGAAAACAGTTTATGGTGGAGTTAATGGCAAAGCTGACTGGCTGTCTGGGTTTGCCCAGTACTGAAAGGGCTCCAGAATATGGGACTTTCAGGGTTAAAATCAATTAAGTACCAGGTAACTGAGGAGTTGGCCATCTTACTAACACCCCACATCTGTTGGCCAGGTGGAAGAAGACGTTCTAAAGCTTCAGGCAGAGGCCACAGCTGAAGCACTGGAAGAGGTGGCCCAGGGACAGCAGGCGCTACTGGAGAGCATGCAGCAGCTGGAAGTTCAGCTGAGGGGCAAGTGGCTTGGCCACGCCCAACAAGAATTTGAGGTCTTAAAGGTAAGTTTCCATTCCTTAGCTGAGGGAGCCAAGACTGACTCCTTTCTTCAGAACCATGAGTGTCAGATACTGCCAAAGTTACTCTGCCAGCACCAATGACTTCTGGGTCAACCCCACGTCCCTCTGCATGCCTCAGTTTCCTCATGTGGAAACAAGAATGACTGTGGTATCAGAGCAGAGCCAGGGACTCGGAGTAGATAACCCATTCAGCACGCAGCAGGATATAAGCAGGCACCGAGTACATGCTTATAATAGGATAACTGGTCACACAGCTTCAGTGCCGAGGAAGTAATGTTTTATGTCCTTTAATAATCCACAGGCTGCTTATGTAAGCATCCAGAGCGTGCTTACAACAAGCCCACAAAGAAAATTCTAGTTTATCCCATTTTACAGACGGGCAAGTTCTCAGGGGAGGTGCACAGGGAGTGGGGTGCTGGGCAGGATCAGAGGATGAGCGAGGTGAGGTGATCCCCACTGAGGTTTCTGTCCTGACCCTGCAGGCCCACGCTGATAAGCAGAGCCACATTGTGTGGGCCCTCACAGGCCTTGTGCAGCGACAGAGACAGGAGATGGCAGCACAGCAGCACCGGCTGCGACAGATCCAGGAGAGGTGAGTGTGCTGGGGTTTGTTATACAGGACATCTTGGCAGGGAAGTATACAAGGCAGCTGGAAGGGGCCCCTTGCCTTAACTGTGTCTGATCTCCCTCCAGACTCCACACTGCGGCACATCCAGCCTGAGCCTGCCGGGGAGAAACTGAGGACCAGTCATGCCCCAACGGGAGTTTCCAAGCCCTACGTAGCGCCAGCACAGGGAGAAGCTGCTGGACCACTGGTCGGCCAGGGCGCTAGGCCGCTTCCGGTCCCGGAGCCAAGAGAGAAGTGGGGACACAGCAGAGAGTGTGGCTGCATCAAGAAAGGTGGAGGAAGAACATGTACCCCTTCATGCCTACACACCCCCTCCCCCCATTAAAGCACGGCAGTGGCATCTCACCCTGGATGATTATGTGTGTCTGGGAAAAAGGGGGACCTCACCGAGCACAGTGCCTGAATGGGTCTCTACCTGTAGCTGGTATGAGGGGCGTAGACGTCCCGGGCAGGGAACTCCAGGATCTCTTTGGTGGGTCGGCCCCTGGGGTCTGGGTAGGGCTTGACATGAAGCAGCTCCGGGGAGAGGCAGAAGTGGGGGTTCTCAGGTGCAGGGGAGATGTCAATCTTAAGCTGGGCTAGGGAGAAGGAGCATGTTTATACCTGTTTGGGAGACTCCAGGCCCAGCCCCATCCTCTCTGGGCCTTGGGGTCAAGGACCTGATTTTCCTACAGTGGCCTCTGGTGGCTCTGTCCTTCAGGTAGCGAGGCCAGAAGTCACTCCCAACTCCCACCCCTCACCCCCACGTGTGATCAGTTCTGCCTCGGAACCTATCTCCTTCTGCCGCCACATCCCCCACTAATCTGTCTTACTCTGTTTCTTGTAGCACCTTCTCCAGGTGAGGGGCAGGCAGGCCCAGTGAGGTGCTTCCCAGACCCTGGCCTTCCCACCCAGCTCCCAACAGCTTGGCCCTTTCATGGGCCACTAGATAACCCTATTAGAAGGTCCACCTCCTGTAATCAGGGATTTTTCTGTCGTGGCCACTGCTAGGTTCCCAGGGCCTGGCATGGCAGATGCCAGGTGAGTGACTGTGAGAACTACACCTCATGCCACTTACCAGTCACAGGCCGCAGGCGCCGCAGCAGGGATGATGGACGCCGCATGTCGGCCAGGAATTTGAAGAGGTCCTCATCACTGAGCCGCTCAGCCTCCTGCATGGGGTGGCCCTGTGAGCTGGGGCTGAGGGGCCAGGGCTGCTGGGGCCCATACATTCATAGGAGGGTAATGGTGGGCATGGCCCCGATGCCCTTCCCAAAGACCCCTGCCCTGCAGCCACAACACCTGTTTAAAGAAGTTGGTGACAGTCAGTGTGGCAGGGCGGAAGCTGGAGAAGCTGCAGGCATCGTCCCCACTACTTGTCCGGTCCTGGGGCCCCCGACGGCGGCGGTCAGTCCAGGCAGGGCGGCGCTCTGGGAGAGGCAATGACAGTGATGGATGGGGGCAGAGATGCGATCTGAAGGGGGCGGGTCAGGGACGCCAGCCTGATCCCAAATCTGGTCAGTAGAGGGCGCCCCTCTCCCACGCTTGAGCGCCCCGCCCCTTGTCTGCCAGCCAGGCCTTCTCACCTCCCTCAGAGTCTGAGTCCCTGTCTGGCTGCCCAGCGCTGCTAACGATGTTGGCTAGGTGCACCGCCGTCCAGGCAAAGGGCATGCGGTAGCGGCCCAGCCGAGTGCAGAACTGCTCGGCTGCTAAGCGCAGCTTCTCCAGCTTCTCCTTGTTCTGTGGGGAGACATGCCCCCCCCCACCACCACCAAACAAGCTCAGTGCTCCAAGTCACCTGAATCCAGGACCTGTCCCTCCAGAAGCCCCTTTACCACCAGGACCAGCCTCCACAGCTTACCTTGACTGTGTCCACCTCCTTCATCACCATGTAGGGCTCGCAACACTCGCTGATGTCCCCCTGCTGTAGCACCTTCTCCAGCTGAGGGGCAGGCAGCCCAGTGAGGTGCTACCCAGACCCTGGCCTCCCTGGCTGCCCCCATCTTGGCCCTTTCATGGACTACTAGATAGCCCGCCCAGCTAAGTAAGACTCTTCCTCTAATACCTTCCATTGTCTTCGGGACAGGTACTAGCAGATGGCTTCATTGATCAGCTGCTTCCTTCTACCCTTTGAACCTACCACAAATCTAAAACTCCACATTTTGCCTACATTTGCATTTTTCTTTGTTAGTACAAATAAAAAGCCACTCCAGGTTTGGCTCTGAGCCGTGAGGGCTGGACTCCAATCTTGACCTTTCAGGGGGCTGTGGGTGCAGGTCCCTTATGGATCTGTGCCTCAGTTTACCCAGATGTAAGGTGGGAGCCATGACAAGTCTGAGGAGTAAAAGCAGGAATCCCTATGAGGCCTGACTAGCCAGGCGCAGTGTCTGTGTAGAGGGCTCAGTGGGTGTCATTATTATAACCTCATTGCACCTTTTGGGAGAGGAAATTTGAGCTCACTCCTAGAAGTAAAAACTCCCAAACAAATGGGCCAACTAGGTTTCTCCTCCCCTACTCCATTAAAAAACTGTGAACCTAAAATTAAAAACAAATGCACATGCAGAGAAGACCTCAGTAATTTCTCCCCACACTGAGTTAAGAGTCTTTTCTGAGCTCCCCTAGATGCCTGTGCTGCCCCTAGGACAGTCCAGATCACTCTCCTTGGTGACAATATCTCCTTCCATGAGAACAGGGACATCATCACCCTGCCCAATCCCAGCAGTCACCTTGATGACCAGGAAAATATCAGGTGAAGGGTAGGTCACAGAGAAGATGGCAGAGCGGGCCAGGGTAGAGATGGCAGGGTGGGTGCCATGGGACCGCAGCAATCCCTTTGTAGAGTCTGAGTTCAGGTCAAAGTAGAAGTTCTCTGATATCTGGAGACATGAGAGGAAAGCTGGACTACCTCCAGGAAGCCTACGGCCTACATAAAAAGGCGAGGGGGGGAGAAAGAAAAGAAAGGGGCTCCTACCTTCTTTTTCTCCCGCACATCATACAGGGCCAAGATGCCAAAGATGGGCTCAATTTCAATCTCGAACCTGTGGGTAAATGGAAGCTCTGTGGGAGGGGCTGTCCATACCTCATGCCCCACTCCTTCTGGCACACGGGGAACAAAGAGGGGAGAAATCTGATTCCTGCTGGGCTACATGAAACAGCATTTAAGGGCTCACAGGAAAGGCATGTACAAAAGGGGGGGGGCTTACAAAAGGGGAAACTGAGGCACAGGTGTTTTTTGTTGTTGTTCCCCCAATGCTTCTCTCACTAAGTTGCTCACATGCTCACAGCCCTGTTCAGGTGGCATGGAAGCCACATTTCAGAACAGCCCCCCATCTTGAAATTCCTGATCCTGAAGTTCCCTGGCCCTCCTTTCTGCCATCCTCACTTACTTGACAGGCCCCATACTTTTTTCTCATCTTACTCTGCTCTGTTCCCCTCCCCACCATGTCCCTCCAAAGGCAGCATTTTAAAACTTTAAATGTAAGACTCCCCAACGATAAAAGAACAAGACACTGCATGACCCAGGCCTATCTACCTTACTCTCACTTGCCCCTCTCCAGACACCCCCCCACCTAGACTGTCTCTTTCCTCCTCTCCTATCAGCCTTGCCACCTCCTCCTCAGGGAAGCTCCAACCCCCACACTGAGTCAGAGCCCTGTGCACTCTCTTGAGGCCCTGTGGGAGCATCACATGGCTACATGCCTTGCACACAGTGCTCAATGCATGTTATATGACTGGAGGAGCCCACAGAGCCAGTTCCCAACCCTGTGCTTGGGGCAGGAGATCCACCCGGGCCTCAGGCCAGACCGGGGCCTCCTTTTCCTGCCCTCCCCTCCCTGTCCAGGCAGGAACTCAGGGTGGGGAGGGGCAGGGCCAGGCTGGGGTCCAAGGCCACATCCTGTTCAGTTCTGTTCCCACGCATTGCTGGCTGTTCCCTGGGAATGGTGTGGAGGGGGCCTTGGGTGGCTAGAAGCCAGGCCTGGGGTCACCAGCAACCCCTCCAGCCTGGATTCCAGCAGCAAAGCAGACTCTGCTGTCACAAACCTTGTGGTCTTGGATATAAGGACTTCACTACTCTGTGCCTTGTACTTGACAAGGTGATGGTGAAGAGTGTATATAAGTGAAGGGTTGATGGCAGAGTCTGGCACATAGTTGACACTTAAGGATGGGTGGCTTTGAACAATGAAAAGGGAGTAATTTCCAGCATTAAAACCCAGGGGCAGCCTTGTGGGTCTTAGGGCTGTGTCCAGGAATGGTATGACACCCACATTGAGCGCCAGGCCCCCACTGCCACCAGCGTGCCTGCACATCTAAAGGGAGGGGTGGTTAGCACACTCACTTAAGCGACAGACACTTGACTAGGATCCTCTGTCCAAAGTGCTCCCGGGGTGGCTCTGGGCGACTACAGCGTTCCACAGCCTCATCCTGCCAAGATCGGGGGAGAAAGGGGGCAGCTGGTTCATGTCCTGCAAGAAGGGCTTGGGATGCATGGCCTGAGGCCAGCCTGGCTAAACTTCTTGTGGTCCCTTACCTCTGAGCCTTTGCACAGGCTGTTTCCTCTACCTGGAATGCCCTTCAGAGGAGACTCTCCTCCTTATCTGGCCAATGGCTGCTCATCACTTGGGTCAAAGCTGAGCCAACACTTCCTCCAGGAAGCCTTCCTTGACCCCCTTGGCCTGTGCAGGCACCTCCTCCAGGTATTCATAACTCTGGGACACTAAGGGCTATGTGAGGGACAGTTACTGTCACATTGTCATACACTACTATGTCTGGGGTATAATTTCCTGGTTCAGTGGTAGTGGGTGGGGGGCTCTCCTCCACTAGGCTGTAAACTCTGAGGGAAGGGATTGACCCAATGGGTCTTTATTATGTTCATGGCTGTATCTCTAGTACCCATCATACTTGGTGGCTGAAAAAATGTAGAGCTACATCACAGATAACTTTTAAAAGTTGGTTGATTGACTATAAACACGGATGTATACAGAAATCAATTAATGTTGCTTGTGCACACATAGGGATGTACCCAAAAACACTATGTACCCAATGAATACTGAATGAAGACACAGAAGTATAAATTAGATGCCCAATAAAAGTTATCTGAGGGCCCTCCCTGGTGGTGCAATGGTGTTAAAGCGCAGCACTATGAAGCTATCTGCAGCCATTGCAACACGAGTCTGATCCCTAGCCAGGGAGCTGACCCATGTGGCGCAGCAGACCTCTCCTGACCCACCTGCTGTTCCCCTCAGCAGTGTACTTCATCAATATGCCTGTTCTGCTCCCTACTGTCTCTGATGAGTCCTCTCACCCCCGCAACTCTGGCCTGTACCCCAGTTCTTATATGCATAAATAAATAAATCTTAATAAAATATGTTAGTTGAATAACTATAGGTATATATAGCTATATGCATTAAGTGCTCAGTAAGTATTAGTTGTTTAAATAGTTTGACTAAGTAAAGAACCATACAGTCGGTAAACAATTAACATTGGTTGATTAGATGAGCATAGAGTAGATGACCAATAAAGGTTAGGCTGATGAATATATGAATATATGGTAAGTGGTCCAAAAAGGTTACTGAGTAAAAATGTTGGTATACACCCGATGCCCAATAAATGTTGGTTGGATAAATATAGTCATATAGAGAAGATGCTCAATAAATATTAGTTGCTTAAGAGCTGTTTGGTTAACAAGAAGATAATATAGTAGTAACAGGTATAATATAGTAGTAACAGGTATTTGTTCAATAAATACTGCTTAATAAATATAGGGGCATATAGTTGGTATCCAACAGGTCATTGCATAAAAATACAGGGAATACAGTAGGCACCAAGCAAATGTTGGTAGGGTATATACGTGATACAAGCCAGTGGAGTGGGCACTGGTCAGTGCCTGGGCAGGCAGCAGGCGCCCACCTCGTCAGGTGCCGGGTAGAGGGCGAGCAGGGCTCGGGGCCGGTGCTGCCGGCGCAGGGCCTCATTGCGCCGGTCCACGTCCTCGGGGACCACACGCTCCAGGAGCGAGGGCAGCAACGAGTCGGCTGCCAAGTTCCTCAGGTCAAAGATGCCAGAGGCACCACTGCTCCGTGGCGTGTCGTCGGGGGAGCCGGAGCAGTGCCGGGGCTCGTCCTGCTAGGAGAGGATCTGTGAGCATTGAGCACCAGCTAGATGTACCTTCATCCCATTCACATTCTATAGCCCAGGAGGCTGAGGGCAAAGGCGTCAGGGCTGCCCCGCAACAGTACCTGGGAGTCTCGACAACTCACTTTTTAGAAACTTCTGTCTAGGGTGTTCCTCTCCTCTCCCATTGATGGGGGAGGTTACTCCTACCTCAAAATACTGTTCTTCAGCTATGATCTTCATCTGGCTAATCAGAATACAGTATCTGCTGGCCCCTAGGAGATGAGAACCTTCCCAAGGACTCACTACTGCCAGGGAGGGAGAGTTCTTCCCACTAGGTTAGGACCCTACCTGACCTTCCAGGCTCAGCTAGACAGTCAGACCACTCTGGTTCAAATCCCAGCTCAACTCTGTGGCCTTGGGTCTATCCCCATCTCAAAGCCCTCAGTTTCCCTATCTAAATACAAAAATAGTTAACTATGGGGTGTCACTAGTGGTGTATTTACTGTCAGTATAAAGTAGGTGCTCAATTAATATTGACTGGCAAAGACAGGCTCAAGACCTAGTGGGCTGGAGAAGGCCTTCTAATTGCCCTGTTGTGTCTCAGTTTCTTCACCTGCAAAATGGGTGTAACGGGTACCCTGCCACATAGGTTGAAAGGTGAGGATAAACATAAACATTTCATATACTAGAAGCACTTAATAAATGTTGTAACTATTACCCTTGACTTTCACTCGCTGGGCTGACATACTTCCTTTTGTGTTCAATGCTACTTGCATCATTCCCTCCACAAATGACAGAGAACTGGGGCTGCAACCTATAATACACATACCCCTGCAGTGACCCCTGCCAGAGGCTCCCTCACCAAGTCCTCAGGGCCGGACCTCTCATCCCCAGAAGCATCCTGCTCAAAGACCTGGCGGGTGAGGCCCTTCTGCCGCTCGCGCTGTGTCTCTGTGGTGATGGGGCTATATGCTGCGCTCAGATGCTGGTACCTAGGAGGAGGCGAGGCTTGATGGGTGGCAGGGGTCAGGGTTCCCCAGTGTGCTCGGATGCACCTGTGAGGCACGTGTGATGCCAAGCCACCTGTCCTCCCTGTGCTCCACCAGAGAAGTCTGGCTGACTTGCAAGACAGGGGGCAGGTAAACAGGAGGATGAGCTACCGACAACGGCGTGGCCCTTCCGGGGTCAGACCTGGTCCCTGGCCCCCAGACTGCCCCAGAGTCAGACTCACCTCCTGTGGACAATGACCCAGTCCTCTGTGTACACCTCCACTGCTGCCCTCACCTGCGCATCCAGCTTTCTGTGGCAAAGTAAGATCAGGATTAACAGAGGCAAAGCCCCATGCCAATCATCTCAGTGGTCTGTGAGGTAGGACTTGCCCCTAGTCTGTTTCAGAGATGGGGAGATGGAGACTCAGAGAGGGCAGTATTGTCCCAGGTCACACAGCCAAACCAGGAATTGAACTCAGGACTGCTGCATCCTGGAGCTTCATGGAAAGGGGATGTTGATGGGAGTCATGGAAGTAGAATGGAATTTGGGGCAGGAAGGGTGTGGAGCTGAACCCACCCATCCTCGGGGATTCCTGGCTCTGTGGTTCGGCATTCTCGGGGCTGCAGTCGCAGCTCCAGGTCATCAGCTGGAAACTCGACCAGGTCGCGGAGGGGCCCGGGCTCGGCATCTGGTGGTCGGCTCAGGAGCACATCTTCAAAGTCCAGGGGCTCAATGACTTCAGTTAGTGGGACCTGGGTCAGAGCAAAGAGGCCGTGACCCCTCTCCTAGGGGCTCAGAGTGGGGGTGCTTACAAGCTGGAACTTGATCATAAGGGTAGAGGGAGTCACGGAAGGTATTCTAACTGTGGAGAGGCCATGGAGAAGGGTGACCTCAGACTCTCCACCCCCAGCCCAGCTTGGCGTGTCTGGCCCCTCTTCCCAGGCAGGAAATCACACCCTGGAGCCTGAAAAGGCAGGGAACTAATGGCAGAAGAAGGGCAAGTTGACTGCAGCAAGAAAGACAATTTCTGAGGCCTTGCAGCAGGAGGGTCCCACCCCCTCCCCATTGCAGAGAAGTAGCTGCCACCCCCCATCCCCACCACAGCTCCCACCCTCCCTCCATCTGGGTGGTCCACGCAGCAGGAGATGGGTGACAGAAGGCTGGAGCAGACGGCTCCCTCCCGACCACCCACAAGGCTGTCACCCCCTCCTTCCAGGAAGCAGCTGCAGTGATTGGGACCACTCTCCCCACTTGGAGGAAACAGGAATGGAGGACAGTACTTAGGCCAGGAAAGAGACCCCTCCCCTGCCACTTCTGGGTTCCTCTGAATCTGAGCTTCCCCAGGGAGCAGGGTGCTAGTAGGAGGGGTGGGTGGAAGAACCCTGGCAGAGGGGAAACCCTACCTCTGCCAGAGGGCAGTGACCTGGGGGGTACCTACTAACACTTACCCCCAGCGAGCTGCTGCTGCGTCTGCTGGAATGAGGCGAGCCACTGCGTTCCCGGGATACCTGCTTCCGTACCTCAGCAGCCACCGTCCTGTGAGGACAGGAAGGGGCACTGGGAGTGGGAAAACTGGAGCAAAGGAGCCAAAAAATTCATTCTATGAGGGGAAATCAGATGCTGGCATAAAAAAACAGACCTCAGGGGCCATCCCTGGTGGTGCAGAGGGTGAAAGCACAGCACTAAGAAGCTAAAGCCACCTTAGCATGAGTTCGACAACCGCCTGTCCCTGAGGTGATCGACATAGCATGGCTGACCTCTCCTGACCCGCCTGCTGCTCCCCTCAGCAGTGTACTTCGTCGATCTGCCTGTTCTGCTCCCCACTCTGTCTCTGGTGAAGCCTCTTACCACCTCTGCACCTCTGGCCTGAACCCCAGTTCTGTATGCACAAATAAATAAATCTTAAAAAAAAAAAAAAAAGACCTCAGAGGACCAACAGAATCTGGAATTAGGGATCCACAGACCTCAGCCTGAGGGCCCCAGGGCTGTGGCAGATACACAGTCACCTGAAGTGTCACCTGGAGGGTCCCTCCAACCTCCACCCTTGGCCCAAGCACATATGGTAGCAACTGTGGCTGGCAGGGTTGGGTAGGTCGTGAGTGCTCTTCCCACCTTGTCCTCCTGCCTGGGATCTGAGTCTTGCCCTGCCAGCCCCTGCTTCCTCATCTGTGGAACTCTCAGCCCATCTTGGCTCTCCTAAATGTATTCCACTCTGCCTTCTGAGCCCCATCCAGAATGTAAGCTCTACCCCATGCTTGCTTGGGGACCTTGGGCAAGTCACTCCCATCCCTGAACCTCAGTTTACCCATTAGACCTCACAATGGACACACTGTATTTGCATTCTCAAGGAGTCTGAGCTTGATCATATATTTAAGAGGCCACTGTGACCCTTGTAGCCCACCACAATTAAGGTCAGTGCTGTGGCTTTCCTGAGCCACCAGCATCTATGCTGGCCTTCAAAGTCATAGAAGATAAGGGTGAAGGGGTTAGACCCAAAGGGGAGAGGGTCAGCATAGGAATCAGGCAGATCCAGTAGGGATAGGGATTCCTCTAAGCTCTCCATTCCTCCAACTGAGTTTGAAAGGTCAAGAGAAGAGGAAGACTGTGCCAGGTAGCGGGACCAGCAAGTGAAAAGGCGCTGAGCAGTCTCCATGCTCTGAGCATGGTGGCCCCTGTTCCAATGGGTTTCTGTGAAGGCAGGAGTTAGGACTGTGTGGTCCCCAATGAAGCTCCCGGACTGGAACCTGAATTTTTTTTTTTTTTAATATTTATTTATGCATACAGAACTGGGGTACAGGCCAGAGGTGCAGGGTGGTAAGAGGATTCACCAGAGACAGAGTGAGGAGTAGAACAGGCAGATTGACGAAGTACACTGCTGAGGGGAGCAGGGGGCGGGTCAGGAGAGGTCTGCCCCGCCATGTGGGTCACCTCTGGTGGCGGGAGGCAGGGCGTGGATCGAACTCATGCTACAGTGGCTTTAGCTTCTCAGTGCTGTGCTTTTATCCGCACAGGTTCAGATAGGGCTCGGAACCTGTATTTTTTTTGTGTTTTGGTGGAGTGAGTCCCTCCCAATCACCATTTGGGTCCAACTAAATCCAATGTTTTGATGGAAACCTCAATCTTTTAGCTGTGTGACTTAGAGTAGGTGGGGAACTCTTTCTGAGTCTTAGTCCCTCTTAAAATCAAGACAAAAGGCCTCATTCCCTTCAATTTCCCATTTTTTGGTGTGCTAATAAATTTACATAATAAAGAGTTATGTCCCAAATAGCCCCTATTTCAAAGACTGCAAACATGAAGGTCCTTGAGCCACTAATAAGATGAATGTGTGCTATGGACCAGAGAGGAGAGCAGAGAAGCTGGGACCAGTGGGAGTTTTGGCTCCTTCTGGGAACTTCTAAACTAAAATTCAAGTTGGTTAAACAAAACTTGGCTATGAACCTGATCAGACATGGGAGCCTGAAGCTGAGACTGCAGCCTCCCTCCTTCTAACATGTATTCTATTTATTTCCTTGGTCAGCTGTCCCAGAGCCTTGTTTTTATTAATTGAGGAGAAATCCTGGGTGTGGGTAGGGAAGAGGCATCTATGAAATTCAAAGGGTGTTCAAAATTAGGGATTTGTCCTTAAATTCCCCAAATTTGGATCGCCTCCTCTGGGCATACAAGGGCCTGGGAGGTGATTTACAAAAGATGCTGGGACAGGGGACCCGTCTGTGCCCTGTCCCAGCTGTTCTGCAGCTGCTGCCTCAGAGCAGGGAGGGAGGAGAAGGGAGGGCTGGGCCTCCAGCTTCATTTTGTCTTTGGCCTGAGCTAGGTCTATAATGCAGTGGCCAGAATCACAGGGCTCTATACTTGGTGCTGGGTATCCTCCCCTTCTCGCTGGACCTCTGGGCTCAGGAGAGCGCCCACACCTTATTGATCTGTTCAAGAACGGGGCCTTGTACCCAGTAAGTGCTTAATTGAAGCCAGAGGTCACCATGTTCTCAAAGAGGAGCCTGGCCCTCACTCTAAAGATGAGTGAAGCTCAGAGAGGAGTCATGAAGCACCAGTCACACAGCAAAACACAATGGAACCCAGAACCAAATCTGACTGGCCAAAGGTCATTGTCACCCATGACAAGGAGCAGTACCAAGAAAGGGCGCTCTAGAACCTGCCTATATGCTGCCACATTCATGCCCTACAATGCTGCTGCCCATGTCTAGAACTTCAACATTGTCTCTACACTGACAAAACCTTGAGTTCATCCTACCTGACACCTGCCTCCTTTGTGTGCCCTGTGGGAGTCTTGCAGACATGGTGCATGCCACCTGACCATGATCTGCCCTCTCGTGGCCTTCTCTGTGATACAAAGGGCAGCTCCACTTTTGTTCTCATTGCTTTATCAGATCTGCTTCCTTCTGGATTGGCAGAAAAATCTACAGATAAATGAGTACTGGTGAGGATGTGGAGCAACAGGAACTCTTACCAGCTGCTAGGGGAACTCCTTTGAAATCACCTATAATTATCAAGCAAAGCTGAAGATATGCCCAGTCGAGGCAAGGATATTCAGGAAGAAACATATAGCTAAGAATGTTCATTGCAGCCTTGACTGTGACTGCCACATATTCCTAAACTGAAGATGGAGAACACACAGGCATGGGAATACTATGCAGCAATGAAAAGGGGCAAACTTCACGATAGGCAACAGTGAAGATAAGCCCGTCTAACATCATGCTAGGTGAAAGAGGTTGGGCACACAGGATTCATCATCCCACATGATTCCATTTACAGGACCTTCTAAATTGGGTCCACCTACTCAGGGTGGACAGGATGCTGACTAGGATGGAGAAACCATAATGCAAATGAGGACGACATTTTGGTCAGACATGGGCCACATACATGACAGTGGTCCCAAAGGGCTGTACCAGATAGTATAGGTATGTACTAGGCCATACCATCCAGGTTTGGATACTTAAACACTTTGACATTTGTACAGTGACAAAATCACCTATCGATGTGTTTCTCAGAACATACCCCCATCATTAAGTGAAGCGTGCCTGTACTCTTTATTCCCTGTACTGTTCTGTATGCAAGCCACACAGTACAATTTTTTGAAAGATAAAAAAATATAATATGTACTTGTGCTTGCACCTATATTCAGAGGTGGGGCAGATGGGACATGTTGAAATATCTTAAGTAGTTCTGGAGTTTTGTCAGTGAGTCTCATTGTGCCTTATCATGTCAACCCCTCCAACAAACCACTGCAGTTAGTTGTCACTTAATAACAGGGGAACGTTGAGAAATGCATCATTAAGTGATTTCATGGTTGTATAAACAGCACAGAGAGCAGTTACCCAAACCTAGATGGTGCAGCCTACTGCACACCTATGCTCCACGGCATAGCACTGGAACCACCATCATATACGTGTTCCCTCGGCGACTGAGGCCTTCTTCAGTAATGTGTGAGAAACACAAACTGCCCTACATCATCAGAGTACTGAGTGCAGAACAAAGATGCTGCTATCAGACTCCCTGGAAAAACAACTAAGCATGCTTGGGGACATGGGCACCAGGAAGAGGCACAGTTTCAGAGATTACTCTGTGCACTGGGATAACATATTCCTGGGCTCAGGAGCTCAGGAGCCTGAGACACCCTCAAGAGAGACTGCCACCGTGATCCTACGTTTCCACAGCTACACCTACGTCACTAGATAACTAAACAAGTGACATCCCACCTGGAGATCACATGGGACAAGCATATGACAAGAGCTGGTCTTTATCATCTTTTATGTATTTTATTTTAAATAGCACAAATGAAAAGATTAGCCAATGATGTGGCATACAACGACATTGTTTATCTTATTTTTATTTGTAAAAGTTTGCTCAAAATCTTTAAGAATCTGTTAGGAAAATGGGGGAACTATTTGAGAGTTAATGATAGTTATGAAATGCATGATTAGGTAAAAACAGGCTCAGGTCTGAGAACCCAAGTGCCTGGGGCTCTGGAGTCACTGGAAGAGTAGTTGGAAGACTTGAGTCATTTGCTTGTGGTTTGCTAGGGCTTCAAGATCTTCCTCAGCCTTTCTCACCCGGACTCGGAAGCATCTGTTCCCCAAGGTGGGGCACAGAACCCCTCTTTCTCTCTTGAGTGGAAGTCAGGACATAGGGAATGAGAGGCAAAGAAACAGAAGGCAGTAATGTTCCCAGACTTGGAGACACCAAAGATCCAAACAGAGAGAAGATCCAGAGACACAAGAACATACAGTGCCCAATATCAGATCAAGTTTTTCCTGATGGCTTCCACCTCACTCAGAGTAAAAGTAAAAGTCCTCCCCACAAGGCCCTACTTGATCTGCTACCACTGTCCCCTTCATCACTCTGAGCCAGAGTGATGATGATCTTGGAACACAGGATACCTGTTTCTACCTCAGGGACTTTGCATTTGCCCTTTCTGATGTTCCCACAGTTTTTCCACCCATATGGGCATGGACTCTCCCTCACCAATTTTACATCTTTGTTTAAAATGTCATCTTCACATCCAGGTTTTCCTGACCTGCCTCCCATATTTAAAATAGCCCCCATCAGTCCTGCCACTTCCCTTTCTTTCTCTGCCTTGTTCGGTATCACCCTCTTAGCACTTATCACTAACGTGTAATCAATTCTATTGTGTTTCTTACTTAGCATCTGTCTCCCCTACAGTATCTGACCCCAAAGGTGGGACCTTTTCTTGTGTTGCTGTAGGGTCAGTGATTGACCCACAGGGTGCCTTTTTCACCTGGGAGTGGTGAAGATTTATGTTCCTGGGGGAGAACAACCCAAAGAAGATAAGAAGATTCTGAATCCGCTGTGGAGGCAAACACTCCAAAGGTGGAAACGGTTCTTCAGTCCAAGAGAGCCTGACAGCTTTTCAGGAAGAGTCTCTCAAAATCCCTAATGGCTACGGAAATGGATCCCCCAGAGCCTGGCGCCTGTCCCCTCCCCCGTCTGCCCACCAGCTGGTTCTGTGCCCAGCCCCCACACCGTCCATTCAATCACCCATCCATCCCCAGAGCGACCAGCCGGTGCTGGGAGAGCCTGAGGCAGGGATGGGGGTTGGGGGGACATCCACAGCTGTCCTTGTCCCCCGACAGCTGGACACAGGTCCCTGGCGGAGAAAAGAGCACGGGGAAACTTCCCGAAGGAGTTCCAACGTTACCCGGGGCACCATTCTGATCTCAAATCCTGTCAGCTGGAGCATCCCTGCCCTACACCAGGCATGGATGAAAGGCGAAGACCCCTTCTCTCGCCCTGGGCTGGAAGACGAGGGAGGGGCCAGGAGGTGGGGAACCCGACGGAAACTGCCGCGCACCAGCTTTTCCCCCGCCGCCTCCTCCAGGAAGGCCCCCCGGACACGCCCCCACGCATCCAACCGGCTCGGAGGACTTCAGGCGCCATAGCGCTCTCAGTTTGGACGCGACCCCCTGCCCCGCGGCTCAAATGCAACCACCCCGCAGTCGCGACCCGGAGCGGAGCCGGCCACCAGGACCCCGCCCAGGCGGAAAGGGGTAGAGTGGGGGGCGCCCGGGCGGGGGGAGGGCCGGGCCGCCCCGGGGCGGGGCTGGGACACGTGGGGGAGGCCCAAGGAAGGGGCCGGGCGACCGCGCTACCTGTTGATCTTGTGAGCGAAGGCGCGGCGCTCAGCGGCCGCCATGGCGCCCGGCGCGTCTCACCGCTGGCCCCACCGCTGCTGCCGAGCGCACAGACCTCACCGCGGCCGCCGCTGCCGCCGCCGCCTCCCGGTTCTGGGCAGCCCAGACTAGGCGGAGCCGGGGCGGAGGCGGGGCCCTTCCGGGTGTCCCGGGAGGCTCCGTGCTGCCCCTGCCGGCGGGCCGGAGGGGCACGGGGTATTCTGACCACTGCCCTCGGGAATGGGGAAACTGAGGCCGTGAGGGGAACAAAGATGGAGAGACGTCGGGGCTGAGGCCAAGCTGTGGAGTGGGTCTCGACCCCCCGAGGGTGCTTTTTCTGCCCTCTGCCTGATAATCACAAGACTCACCATAATAAACATAATAATGTGGAGCTTTTATTAAGAACGGCCCTGCACTACCATGTGAGGAAGAAACTGTTACCCCAGGTAAACCGAAGCACAAAAGTGTTCTGACGCTTGCCTTGGTTGGAGTGATTGGGGACCCTGAAACCTCCGCCTGATGTACCCCGGTGCCAGGGTACAGTAGTGGGACCCGAGTGAGCCAGTCCTGAGGGCTGGACTGAACTGACCACATCTACCGGAAGGAGGAGTGGGGATGTCCTGTAAGTTTGTGACTTCAAATGTCTCTCGAATTATCTCCCTTAGAAGTCACTGCATTAATCTTAGAGAGTTCTCCAGCCCTCACTCATCCATCCTCTGTATGAACCAAACCCTTGATCACCTCCTACTCTTTGTGTGCAGGTTGTTCCTCCTGATGGTGCTTCCAGGGACTGGAGACAGAATAGTAGTAGGACATAACTCCAGAGCTTTTCCTGTGTTTGAGTGCTGTCATTATCTCCTTTTCAAGGTTGAGGATACTGAGGCCCAGAGAGGCACAGTGACTTGTCCCAGTTGCCCAGTGTCAGATGGATGCCCACAGGAGGGAGAACTGGATTGGGGGAATTCTCCTACCCTGGCACTGAGCCGCAGGCTAGTAGGACACAGCAGGGCTGTTGGCAGCCGGGCATGTGATATATGCACGTGTCTGCAGCCCACACACCTGCCAGAGTGGTTCAACCACTTAGGCCTGGGAGCTAGAGGTGTGCCCCGCCCATCACTCCCTGCCTGTCTCCAACCTGCAGCCTCTTGGGTTAAAGTCCCTGTCTGGCTTCTCTGGCTGTTGGGCTAGGTGGGAAACATGGAGATGAGCAAAGATAGGTAGATTTCTCTGCCCCCTTCCTGCTCCTCTGCCTACTGTCTGCTTTTGGGTTTGATTCCCACCTCATTCAGGTAAGAGCCAAAGTCTTCACCTCAACTCACAGGCCATGTCACCTCCATTTCCTCACCTCCTCCCACTCTCCCTCATTTACTATACTCCAGCTGTTACTCTTAACACTAGGGCACAGCTCTACCTCAGGCCCTTTGCTGTTCCCCTTTCCACATATGGGTGTCATCTTATCATCCCCTTTTGACAGATGTCATCTCATCATCCCCTTTTGACAGATGAGGTTGAGAATGAGAGTGACTTGCCCCATTCGCCCAGTGAATCAGGGACAGATCTGCCCCAGGGACCCTGTCCCTAAAGTGACAGTCTCTGTATACCAGCTGGGTCCCTGGGGCTCTATAACCCAGGTGAAATCTCCCCATTTTCTTAGAAGTCTTGAGGGCTTTTCGTTGGTTACAGTTTAAGCATGGACATAGGGAGCACGTGGGGACATGGAGTGCCATGTGCCAGACCATGTGGAAATTGATTCTGCAGGAGCCTGGTGGGGGGACTTTGAGCTGGGTGGCTCCACGTTCTGCCTTGGTTGAAACGTTGCTTCAGTCAAAGAGCCCTCCACGTAAAAAGCCCAGCCTCCTAAGCCAGGTGCCCGCCCCATGCCTGCCAGACCTGATTGGCAAGGCTGTTTCTTTTCAGGGTAAGGCCAGGCCTGACTCAAGCAGGCAGGGTGGGGGTGACCCAGCAGCTGCTCAAACAAGAGACCAAGCTTGGTGGGGACTTTGGCCTCCTCTGGTTGCCTGGGAAAACAGACTGGGATAGGATGCCGGGAACCTGCAGACCTGAGAGGAGGGACTTCTCTGGTCCATATGGCAGAAACTGATGAGGAAAGCGTGGCTGGGAGTGGGCAGGATTGGGCAGGTGGTGGGCTAATGGTGAAAATGGTTCGTGCTGATGGACTTCTGGCAAGTTGAAGTGTGAGGGATGGAGCTAAAGACCCTCTCTTTCCATGCTGATGCCCAGTACTGTCCCCTGCAGTTGGAATGCTGTTCTGTCTACTGCTCATCTCTTTGACTTTTTCATCCCTTAAGTTTCAGCTTGGACATCCCTGCCTCCCACACCTGCCTCCCACACCTGCCCATGCTGTAGCCCTGTTAGAGCCCTAGTCATTGCCAGGTTGTCTCTTTCTGTGAGGTCCTGTGCCCCTTGCACTTGGCTGAAGCTCCTTAAATATCTATTTCTGGTCTCTTTCTTCTGTTTTTCTGATCTGCTGCTTAGGGCTTGTTCAAGACCTTACTATTTGAATCATTATAATGTGATTTCTTTCTTTTTAAAGGTTAATTTATTTAGGCCCTCCCTGGTGACGCAAAAGGTTAAGGACGCAGCACTGCAAGCTAGCAGCAGCAGCAGCTTCAATACGAGTTCGATCCTGGGACCCTAAGGTGATCCACATGGTTCGGCAGACCTCTCCTGACCCACCTGCTGTTCCCCTCAGCAGTGTACTTCGCCAGTCTGCCTGTTCTGCTCCCCACTTTGTCTCTAGTGAGTCCTCTCAACGCCTCTGCACCTATGGCTTGTACCCCATTTCTGTATGCATATATTAGCAATTCTAAAAAAAATTATTTATACAGATAAGAATTGGGGTGAGGCCCTCCCTGGTGGCGCAGCGGGTTAAAGCACAGCACTAAGAAGCTAAAGCCACTTCTGCATGAGTTCGATTCCCGCCTGCCCCGGAGGTGACCACATGGCGTGGCAGACCTCTCCTGACCCGCCTGCTGCTCCCCTCATCAGTGTACTTCGCGGATCTGCCTGTTCTGCTCCCCACTCTGTCTCTGGTGAAGCCTCTCGCCACCCCTGAGCCTCTGGCCTGTACCCCACTTCTGTATGAATAAATAAATAAATCTTTAAAAAAAAAAAGGATCCATTAGAGACAGAGTAGGGAGCAGAACAGGTGAAAGTAATAAAATACACTGCTGAGGGGAGCAGCGGGGTGGGTCAGGAGAGGTCTGCCACGCCATGTGGGTCACCTCCCTGGCTGGGAATCTAACTCATGCTGCAGTAGCTGTGGATAGCTTCAGAGTGCTGTGCTTAACCTGTTGCTCTGCCAGTGAGGGCCCTATAATATGCGTACTTAGCTTTCAGGAGGGGAATGCACAATGGCTTTCAGATCTTTGCACAGATACTACCCTTTGCATGTAGCACTGTTTCCCTAGCAAACTTTTATTCTAGGTGTAACACCTCTTGGAAACTTGGCTTACCTCCCCTGATTTCTCTCAATTGTAATTGTCTGGTTCTGGGAGCCCGTCTCCTCCACTTGAATGCCAGCTCCATGAGGACATGGATTTTTCTCTGCTTTAAACTATTTTTCTCTGCTTTAAGCTCTGCATGTTTTCTGTGCCCAAGCTTAGGGCTGTGCAAACAGTAGATACTCAATAAAAGAATAAATGAGGCAGACTGCTACAGGATTCAGCAGCCTTGGGACCCTGATGCTTCCCTATACCCTGGTGCCTACCTTTCCTCCATCATTGTAATGGGAGAACCCCACCACAAAATTGAGAGGATCAGCCTATCACTTCCTGTACTGTGGGGTGCTAGGGAATAAAGGTGGGGAGGCCGAATGTGGATGCCCACTGCCCCCTGGTGTCCAAAATGGTAATGGCTGGGCATGTCAGCTCAACATTTGCCTTGTTAGGGAAGTCTCTTACCTTCTTAGCGCAGAAGCCTCTACTCACAGAGATTAGGGGGCAGTGTGCAGGTAAGGCCAAGGTGGGGCAGCAGGACACAAGGGACATTTGTTCAAAAAGCACTCACTGAGCACCTGCCTTGCTGTGTGCAGGCTCCGACCAGCCCAGGAAGTGGTGTCATCATCAACCTCATCATGCTTTTAACTCCTAGGACTTGAACCCACGGATGTCATTTTCAGGGATACCTCTGTCTTGGTTATTCAGAGGCAACTTGGCAACCTAGTGAATCAGTTGATCAGTAAATTAATGAATGAATTAGTGAATGGGTGTCCTCAATCAGTGTTTACCTCAGAGTAGGAACAGGCAGAACTTGGAATCCAGAGAGCCCAGGTTCTAGTCCTGTTTGGCCCCTAACCTGAGGCTTCTCTGAGACTCATTTTCCTCATGTGTTAAGGGGGATGGACCCCTCAATGGTAATCCTGTGGCATCATAATGCCCCCCACCCCTGCCCCAGAGGCATTATCTGGAGGGGCAGGGCCCTGGAGAGTTTGCCTTGTCTGACAGTCTTTTCTCCTATTTCTGGACCCAGGAACGGAAGCGGAAAGCCCATTCATGGTGTCCAGACTGGCCTTTGGAAGTTTAAGTCACAAAGACAAAGGCTGGGCACAGAGAGGCTGGAGGAGCAGGTCACAGGCTTCCTGTTTTTCTTTGAACAGATGGTCTAGCCACCAGGCTCTTGTCTGTGTTTGTTTGTCTTTGTCCCTGGAAATCATTACTTATTCCTCGGTGACCAGCTTTTTTCATTTTCTGGGTGCTTTCACCATATTCCAACAGCTGGGTGTTTTCACTGGGATTCCCCAGGCACCCAAGAGTTCTGCAAATAGAATTCATGGAGGTCCCTGAACTTGCGGGGGAAAGATTTGCACCCCTTCCCTGCTTCTCACAATAGTAATCATTAGATCTGCCACTAGGTCTTGCTATTTAATAAGCTAAAAAAGATGTATAAATTACATCACAAAATATTTTGATCACTGTATCACAATGTGATGGCTTCCTTTACCATCAGAGGTGTTTCAAGGCACTTAAAAATTCCACTGGTAAGGACTCATGCTATGGAAAGATACCTGTGAAATAAGAGGGACTTTCCCTCATGTCCTTCTCCATATTAAAACCTGCCGTGGCTCCACTTTGCTCC